ATCCTCGCAACCCGATGAACCCATGGGATGGATCATGGGGCATGGACGGTCACCTGGCAATCTTGCGATGTGAAATGCTGCTGGGAGTTATCGTAGAAGATTGATTGATGCAACGATGGGCCACAGACCAAATCGTCATCGAGTCGCTTTGGATCTATGTATGTGTTGTGAGGTGGGGAGGAGACCAGATTGCCTACTTGATTGCCAGAATCCAAGGCAGGTGCCAATGAAGTCATGTAGCTGCCCTAAATATTTCGATGTTTTCCCGGTGAGAGCTGAGGTCAAAGACGAGGCAAGTGGATGGCCAGTGGCATCCTCCTATGTGGGACACCACGCTCTCGCTGACGGCACTGGAACCACACTCGGCCCTGGGCACTGTATTTGTCGCGCTTCCTTTTTTCTGTTCACAAGTAACCACATCCAAGCAGCAACCAACACAGAGACATCAACTTCGGGCCTTTTTGGGTTCTTTTTGTTTTCTTTTGCAATTGTTATCAAAGGCATCTTTCATACGACACACATTGGCTTCAAAGCATTTGTTATCACCAGATTTTGTTCCTTTCTTGCTCGGTGGCACCTGCAAACGAGTCTTCGCCTGTTCCACGAGGTTTGCTGGTAAGGTATGGCTCCACATTGCCCGACTTAAGTCTCTTGGAAAGCATCTGACTCAGAGTAGATGGCTTCATCCCGCGCCGACGGCGAAAATGTGGGATCTAGCCCCAACACGTCGTCTTCTATCACCGGCCAGAACTCTTCGCAAACCCTCCGAACGGGCCCCGCGGTATGAACCTGCTGCCCTTTTATCCCGAGTGCCTTAGTGTTCTACCTGCTGATGAACATTTACAGTCCTCTGAGACAGGGCCATCAACCCCGAGATTCCCAGCCAGTGGGAACATGATCACCAACGGTCAGCTTATTCGCATCCGACGGCACCTGAGTCATCCCGGACTTGACCTCCCAGCGGACGTCATCACACACAGGAATGCCAACTTAGCCATTGCTCTGGGTGCCTGTGATGACAACTTGGATCCCAAGGGCCCCGATGTTCGCGTGCCGGAGGGCCAGATGCCCCGCCACGTGTCTGGCCACGTCGAAGGGGTTTTTTCCGCAGCGTTCAGTGTACTGTACAACCAAAAGGACATGGACCAAACGATGCCATTGATGTGGCAGCAGGTTCAGATGATTCTCGGAAAAGCCAACCCCATCTAGAAGACGAAAGTTATGCCTGAGCAGATCCGTGAGCTTGTGGAAATTTACGTGGCCGCCCGCGAAAGACATCTCGACGACTCAACAGAGACGAAGGGCGATCACAGCCAGAGGAGGTTCCTCGAAACTGTTGACAAGTGGATTGCGATGACGAAGAATCGAGGTGCGTTTTCGGATGAGCTGACGTTCCCAGCCAAGACACGATGGGCTATCGCAAGCGATCCGCTCCATTTACGATGGAAAGAATCGACAAAGAGACAGTTGGTTGAGGAAAGCAGGGAGGAAGACCGGAAGTGGAAAGCGCAGAAGGAGACGGAGCTGAAGGAGAGGGGGCTCGAAGAGAAGAGACAAAAGTTAGAGAGAGAGCAGAGGGAGTGGGAGCAGAAGCAGAAGGAATTCAAGGAGATAAAAGAACAACTGCAAATGTCGCGGAGAGCGCAGAGGGAGTGGGAGGAAAAAGCGAAACAACGGATAGAGAGGGAAGAGAAACAGCAGAGAATAGAAAAAGTGCGAGAAGAGAGAGAGCGGAAGGAGCGGGAGCAGAAAGAGAAACAGCAGAATATAGAGAAAGCACGGCAGGAGAGAGAGCAGAGGGATAAAGGGCGTAAGGAGAGGGAGCAGAAAGAGAAATTAGATAAGTTAGAGAGAGCGCGGAAGAAGAGGGAGCAGAAGGAAAAGGATCGGGAGCAGATACTACAGAAAGAAAGAATCAAGCAGGAAAGGGAGCATAAGGAGAGAGAACCGAGCGAGATAGAGCAAAAGGAGAAAAGGCAGAAGGAGACGGAGCATAAGGAGAGAGAGCAAAATGAGAGGGAGCAGGAGGAGAGAGCGCGGAAGCAGAGAGATTTGAATAAGGATATCGCAAAAGAGCGGACAGAAAGGGAGTGGGAGGCGAGAGAGTGGAAGAAGAGGAAGAGAGACTCCAACGGCCAGGCTCCTGGTGTTGCTATGCGACCAGAAAACCGCTCATCAAATGCTCCCGAGGACGCGGCAGGCTTTCAACGAAGCCGCCAACCACAGATACGCCCTCGCAACGCCGACCGAGAGCATAGAAGGCGGTGAGCGATTCGTCACAGAGTAATATCCCGCGAAAGGTGACACAGTGCATGCCAAATGGCTGGATGTCATTCACTCGGCATGTAAGGCACTTGGAGCGTTGTTGGATTGGAAATGAATCACGGCACCTTAGAGAGGAACTACTCTGCGGTGAACCGATGGAATCATAGTTTAGGAGTATAAATATCTCGTAGAAAGCCCAAGTCAAGCAGTTTCTTTTCTCAAACAAACACATACAACACAAGCCAAGCATCATAACATTCAAGCAGAAAACAGACTTTTGACAGCCCAGACTCTCGACAACATGGCGAACTCACCCTCTCTCGGAGCACCCTTCCTTCCCAAGCCTGCGCCCAAGCCTGGCCCGCCTCCCAAGCCGACTCCCCAGCCTCTGCCTCCGACCAAGTAAAACACCGTCATGTTTGGCCTGGGAAAGGGGTAATGAACGGAGTTTCAACATGGCGTAAGACGTGAGAAATAGACAGTCTCCGGTAGTTTCATAGTATTCAATTGATCAGTTCAGTTATATTCAATGTGTCTTCAGACCGTTATTGCATGGGATGCAGCTGCTTGCTTTTGATGCGATATGTCGTGGGCAAGCCAGCGCCGGGAGCCGACGTGGTGGAGTTGCCGGCGATGCTGCTCCACGCGCGATGTTTGGCGCAACGGCTTCAAAAACTCCCTGCTAACGGCTATTTAAGCCGTAAATTGGGCTGCTGGTTGCCTGGTGACGCAGGTGGCAGTATTTAAGGGGGTTGTCCGGTCGACTTGCCACGACCCAATCGAGAGAAGAGCAATGGTTCCGTAGATGGCTGACGGATGGCGCGCCCACCTCGGTAACGATATCTCATCGGGCCCTCGGGATATTTCGCCCTGCTAAGTGTAGAAAGATCGGGGTTCCGTATCAGGTGGTGGCAATACCTCAGTTTTTTGTCTCTCATTTTCGAACATCAGTCTTCTTTTATCACATGCGTGCGAACAGCTCAACATTTTCCATGATAATCCTGCCATAACTTCCTCTTGGTTCTGCTCAATCGCGAGTCGCCCCTTGCTAGGATGCAGAATCTTCTCGTCATCTCGGTTTTACTCCCAGCTTTTCATCGCCACCATGGAACACTGCCAGACTTGTCGCGCAGCCGAACGTAGCTTTGACATAGAATAAGGACTTCGCGACCTTGTGTTTTTTTTGAGACTGTCCAACCCAAGTCAGCAATCATTCCAGTTCAGTCGTTTCCCGCGATCGTTCCTCCTGTAGTCTTCCTCGCTGTGGTTGCGTACCCCCACTACCTGCTAAGTCCACGCCGTCCTTTGAGTTCGGCTTTACGCTTACCAGGACCCAAGTATTGCTGAACACCGACCTGACAGACGTAGGTCGAGGCGAAGGGTTCACAAACGTCATCGCATGATGATATCTAATACTATCGTCCCAGTGCAAGTCTCATGAGAATTTTCACAAATAAGCAAGCTGCAGGGTATCCCCAGGACGCCCAACCGCAGCCTGAAATTTGTAACGTATCCAGCGCGATGAAAGAACATGAAGATCACCTCTAACGACGATGGACAGGGCAGAAGTAATACACTTTCCCACGGGTTCTCAGTGAATTTACTCTGCCAGCATCAACTTGCCGTGCCGAATTACGAGACAGACTGATAGAACTGCTCATTTGGGAGCAAAGTCGTGGAGACTTCAGAAGCAAGGTCCACATTGCAGTCAGAAGTGTTGCTGGTGATTGGGGGGTTGCATAAGGTGCACGCGATTGGGAAATTCACCTCAAAGCGCCTGTCGTGGCTGGGTGCCTTGCGCCCCAGGCAACAGCCTACTTAAGGGGGTTGGCTGCCCAAATTCGCAACCCAATGTGAGAGGACGAGGTATCGCGCCGTAGGTTTCTGAGTGGTTGCGCGCCCACGACGTACATAACCCGATCGGGCCCTCAAAATCTCCCCTCGCTAAGAGCGAGAAGGCCAGGGTTCAATTCCGGGTAGTGGCGATACCCAAATCTTTTTTTTCTTCTTTTTGCCCTTGCCTCTCTCTATCTTTTGAATAAAATAGAACTGCTGTACAGTAATTTTCATTCAGACCCCCTGCCTTCCCTGTGCTAGAACGACCACCTTTCCTGTGTTCTCGTTGCTATTGTTGCTACTATTACTACTGTAATCCTCGTCGTCTATTGTTGTAGCACGTCTATCGTCGTCGTCCATTGCTGTGGTTGTCGCTCATCGCCGTCGTCCTCATCAAAGTCACCAAGTACACAGGAAATGCAGAAAGCCTTCGGCCGCAGCAACAATTCGCTTGGTCACAAAGTCTTCTGTATTATGAGACCTCTGTGGACTTTGCTTGGATAACGGCTGTCTCTGTGTGGAGCTTGTGACCATCTCAACTCCCGCCCAGCGTTGTTTTGTGCTCCACCGAAACTCACCTTGACCGAGGTCACTCTCACCTTTCGCTGCTGCTTCAGCCCGCGCGCTCAATGTGATCTGCCTTTCGCAGGATGGTGCTCCACTTATTCCTCTCTCACCCGCCTCAGCCCAGGCCGCACAGAAAGCTCACTTGGCCGAAAACCTCTTCCCACAAACCCCTCGTCAAACCTTCACCGGACGAAAATTCCGTTGCGGAGGAAATCTGCGACAGAAGCATCTTGTCAGCAGCTTCGTCCTTCTGGGTAAGTAAGTTCTCCGCGTCGTGATTGTCATTTCTTATTTCTTCGTCGCTGACGGAAGGAATACAGGAAGTCCGAAAGATGGCCCCTCTGGTGATGGCCAAGCCGGGCCCTTCCTTCCGAGACGCCACTCGAGTCGCCATATGCTCCGATCAGGAGGCTCTTGTGAAGATACCGTTCCTCGAGTTCCATGTCGGCACCAATGGAATCGTCATCGTCAACAAGAAGACGCCGAGCCTGCCCCTCTTCACCCGACCGTACAAAACCGATGTTACCGGCAACCCTACCAAGACCATTGCTCGCCGGGCTTCTGAGCTACTGGAAACGTACTTCGCGATTCTCGATATCGCCGAGCAGAGAGGTCTCAAGGCAGCGCAACAACCGATCAAGGCCTGGGGTCTCGCTTTGCAGTACCTGCACAAGAAGGAGCGCTGGCCTCCCTATTCGGTCACCGACGAAAAGATGCAATTGGTGATGGTCGCCTTTGCCGATGCCCGCAATCGGTATCTCAACAACGGGGGTGCGAAGCAGAATGTCCCTTTGAAGTCCGCCTTCTTCAAACATCTCGCCGACCAGCTGGATGAGTTCAACGAGCGGCGCAGCCCTCCTGCTCTGCCCGCCAAGCTGGAGACCTCCAAAGACGCCTCCTCTTCGACTGCCCCGCTCGCATCGGCCGACCATTCCTCACGTCAATCCGGCCCCGACAACGCCGCAGTCTCGCTCTTTGTCAGCAGCCCTGCGCCTGCGCCCGGCAATGGCCCCGTTGCTTCTGGCCCTCGTCCTCTCCAGCCTGATGACGGTCTGGCGTTCTCTCTTTTTGAAGAGCTTCAGAAGGTCAAGGATGAGTTGGAGGAGACCAAGGGCACCAATGCCGAGCTGAAGAAGGCGAGACAGATGGATATGGAGACAAGACTGTTTTGGAGAGAGAGGTTCACAAAGCGCATGGTCTGGCGCGCCGTGCTTCCTGCGATGAACGAGCTCCAGGAGCTGAAAGGTCTGCCGGTCTAGGGACCCGACGACTACGACAAGTTTCTCGTGGGCAAGTTTTGAGATGATTGTTGGTTTAAGTGTCTGCGAAGTTTGACTTCACATGTCTTGGGGATACGCAGGAATATGCAGAAGACAGGAATGAGGACTACGGTGATGTCAGAGGCAGAGGAAAAGCCAAACGATAGATAGAACCTGTTTAGTGCAGCAAACAATTTTTTGAAGGCCGAATCCCTTGAAATTTCTTCTGACCTCCGTGCACACACCTGATCGAGCGCACGCTGTTCTGTAGCCACACCAAATGTCGTTGCTTACCGCCCCGCCAGCGATGCTTGGAACGAACTCTCCTACCCAGTTCAGAGGCTTTCCGTTTGAAATGAAGCTCGCCTCATGGGGTCTGGAAACCTGCGTAAATCAGCCCATGCGCGCCGATTCCAATGAGCTTTGACAGATTAGATAAGCATCAGCGCGCCTTCCGTTGTTCAAGTGTGTAAGAAGGCGGCAGGAGAGGTGAAGTTGAATAAAGTGGGTCCTGAACAACAGCTGTCGGTCTGAGCCAATGAAAGCCAACGCGGTCGTGATGTGGCCCGGGAGGTGAGATCGAGGACCCACACCATCACCACGACCGCCCTCCGGCGCAGCAGGTGTTATCTATCGAAATCGTTCGTCTTGCTTCCGTCGATGTTGGTGGTCGAACGGTTTACTGTTCGTCTTCCTTCGGAGGCTATCCGGCCTTCTCGGGGTGGGACTTTCAATACTCCTAAATGCTGGTTTCACTTGGGTCTAATGCCTTGAGTCGCTCGTTTTGACTTTTGCATTTTCTGATTTTTGCTTCCAGAGGTACTTTTGTGTTGGTTTTTCAAAGTTTTGTGGGCCTTGTTTGGTTGGGTTGAGATATGTGTGTATATTCAGCTTTCTTGCACAGCATACTCAGCTGCTTTGTGGCTTGCTGCGGGGAGCCGACTGGCTAATGTCAAATCAGACCGAGTGTGGGAGAAAGACAGGCCGTGCCTTCATTGTTAACTATGCATGGTCTGAGCCATCGACACGCCATACACGATGGGGCCGGCGTTTATCTCACGATATTACGGAAATCCTCTCACCGGATGGTCTCCTGCTCTTCGTACGTGTCGAAGGCTTAAGACCCTTGCAGATGCGAACACGTCACGACGAATGTGTCTGAGGCTGTTCAGTCTGTCAATACTTGCGAGATTGTCACGTCACTGCACCGGTGCAAAGTAGGCCTTTCAACCGGTACAAGTAGGGGCATGGGGACTGTTCTCATTGTTCGAAACTACGACAGGAATAACTCAAAGATACCTGCCTATCTGACCAGCCAATAGCTATAGTAGCTCTTGAAAACATCCAACCCTCGATGTAATCACATGAATTCTTAACGGCAGTCGAACGTGTCACGTGTGGTTGCCGACAAAAAGCCTCACTCTGGTCATTGCCGTCGTCCTTGCCGTCCTTGCCATCATGATCCCTGCTCTAAATCGACTCGTGCTTCTCGGCTCGGCAAGCCAGACTGGCAGCAAAGAAGCCTTCCTCGTAGCCCTCGGCAAAGCCTTGGGAGAAGGCCTCCACCATGGCGCGCTCATGCTTCTTGTTCTTAGCGCGAAGGAAAGCTCGCAGGTGCTTCTTCACGTGCTGAATATTGACAGCGGTGTCGTTGTCACCACTGCAATTGCCACTTCGAATGTAGTTGTCGATCTCGCGGTCGATCTTAGACTTGCGCCTGGCTTGCTCCTTCTCCATCGGGACAGGGACATCCTTCACATTGTCGATCGCGATCTCCTAATCAGCGACTGCCATGTAAAGACGGTGCAAAAGGTTGGCCTCCGGAGTGTCCATGAGGGGCTTAGACAGGAGAGCTTCGGCGGCCTGGGAGTCTTGGCGGCCGAACTCGTTCCAGGCAGAGTGGTACTTGGCGATGATGACGGGGCCAGCGGCCAGAAGAGAGGGGTCGGCGTTCTTGAAAGTTAAGTCGTCATTGAGGTCGATGGTCTTGACAAGATCCCAGAACTCGGGAGACTGAGTACCTATTCCGGGGTTCTCGGAGGCCACTTTATGGGCAGCTTCAAAGATCATTGTGAGTCTGAGGGCGACATTCTTCTTCGACGCATCGTACGGGCGCTCGCGAGGATCAAGATGAAGAAGACGAAGAGCAGCATGCTCATGATCGGCAAAGACAAGTTCGTCGTCGAAGGTAAAGCCGACTTGGCGCAGGGATGCATCGATCTCGGTGTGGGCGGCGGCTGAGAGGCTGGGCCGGGAGCGCGGGTGGTCAGCGTCGCTGGGCTGGCGTTTGTGCTTCGACATCGTGACGGCTCTTGGATTTCGATGAAATCAATGGTCTCTATTTTGTTAGCGCAAGAACTTTTATCTGGCAGTCTTTGCCAACCTTTCAAGACAAGCGGGAGTCGGGATGAACTGGGAGCGAACACTGGACGATCGGTTTGTGTGTCGCGACGGTGTTGAAGGAGTGAGAGATGGAAGTGTAAGGCGCCTGAGACGGGTGGGAAACGTAGAGTCCCGACAGGATCACGTGAGAGGTGAGAATGGAATTTCTCGCTACACCGCTTTCGTAATTATTTTGACTTCCCATGGTGACCAACCGGAACCTGATGAACGAGGGCGAGAGTGAATGTTTTCTCATTCACCAGGCCTCATGTGGGTCCATCGGCCACATGGGCGTTCACTTCCACGTCTCCATGAGGCCCGTGTGCCCACCACCAATGCCACTACCAAACTCATGGTGCTGCAAACACGACTTCAAATATTTCAAGAGGGAGGAAGGTTAGTTTTCAAAAGTAAAACATTGCGCTCTTTGGTCTATCGAGTGTTCCTTGGCCGAATTGTGATTTCAGTCTCTACACGCATACCTCCATCCACAGCGAAATCAAATGTAACCACACAACAAATGTTGATTGCCCTTGCAATTTCAATCAGGAAACTACACCGGCTTCTAGGTGACTTGTGACCATCGTTTCAGGGGCACTTCAGTCGGTGGAATCATAGTGAACTGTGTATCTCCAGAGGTCCATACGAACTGGGCCATTAGCACGATCGACGCTTGGCAGCGCAAGTGCAGCACAAATTCGCCGCATGTCGTTGTCTGCAACAGATTAGCCCTCGCAAAGGACTTGGGGATACATGAAATGGAAACTCACGGCTCATGGCCCAAAATGCAGAGGCCGTGGTGGGAAAGCCACGAATTGGATCGCCAGTCTCGAGATTGCGCATCGGATGTAACTGAGCCAACGGGTCCGCTTCGAGAGATGCCTGATTCTCCCTTGCAAGTTCTGCGTTGAGGACACTGAAAGTCAGTCTGAGTTTATACAGGGCACTTTGTTGTTAGCAAACCTTGAAGAGATAGTTTGTCGAAGCCGTTTGATATGATCTTTAACGGAGCCGGTTCTGAGAACAAGGAACTTGAAGTTCGGGAGCGGGTGGAGAGTGCGTTTGATAGTGTCTTTAGCTCTCGTAATGGATGAGATACAATCCAGCAACTCGTCAGAGATGGATCTGGTGTCTGCGTCTGCAACCACAACGATGCGTGATGATTGACCGGCAGCTGCCATGAGTGATAGGAAGGTAGCAAATTTGAAGTCAGGTAGGTGGCGCACGATGCAAGGTCTGGATGCTGTAGGGTGGTTGACGCTTGTCATTGCGAGTTTGTTGCTGGACGATGATGCGAGGAATAGGACTTCCGAAGCGATAGGAAGTGTCCTGGTTTATACCCATCGATTAAGATTCAAAGTTGTTGCTCGATAAATAATGTTTGAGCACGTTGAATGTCTGGATTTCTATAGGATTCTACATGAGTCTTCCCTCATATCATCTCCAGGCTCATCGTATTCCAGTATCCTTACCGAAGTGACCAATTCATTCACACTTTGAGGTCTTGCATCGATCAGTGTCGCGCTGGCAGAGATGTTGATCCGTGGCGCTGTGTTGTGTCAAATTCGAACATTATGTTTCATTCAAATGGTTGGTCGACCAGATTTCCGTCAACTACAACAAAGACTTAATCCAAGAAAACGACGTTTTATGCACAAAGCCGAATACTTCTCCTGATGAACTTCGTGACCAGCTAAAAGTTTGTATTCATTACAGGACCCCGCCCCGATCAGGGACAAGAGTTTTGACCTTCGTTTCATCACCGGACAAGCAAATTTATGTGTTACGTAGAACACAAAGTTGAATTTTGTTGACATTGCTGCATCACGGGCCGGAGGATCATGAAAACATGTCTTTGAACTCCTCGGTGTCATTTTCTGCTGTGTAACTACAAATGTTGCATTTTACTAGGAGAGCAACTGAGATCGAGTAGTTTGGAGCTGAGGCATTGGATTTCACTGAATAGCAAGAGTCCTCCAGAAGGCGTTGGTGAGATGTGGTGCAGACCGCCTCCCCGCAGTACTGACATGATGTTTACGGGATGTCGTCGAAAAAAGGCGAATACGTCCGGCGGTCATTTGCCGATTCCCGCTAGAGGCTGCTGCCTGCCTAGGGCTCCACTCGCCGTTGAAGACCCCGGTCTTGGCGTGCGGCTGCCGCTCGCGTGCCAACCAGCTGACTGCCGACATTTTTTGCTTCCTGCGCAAACGCGTCGAAACTGAACTTCGCATGGACTTCACACCTTCATTCAGACAAAGTCATCGCGACCACGCCATGACTTTCTTCAACTTCCTGCCTCTGCTCACCTACCTCCATCATCCGAACCGAGCAGTCAGCAACGGTGGGCCAGCGGACATGGGTATATCGACCAATGCAACCCCATCTCCGCCCCTTGAAGGCTGATCGCGCCAGGAACGAGAATCACTGGACCCGAGCAATCTGCAAAATGGAGTCTGTCAGCAGGGATCGCCCGCCCGCACCCGACCCGATCGAACGGTTGATTCGTCCACCGCCGAGCCTGGCGAGGACTTAAGCAACGGTCGAGTCCCGCGCAACTGCACCTGTCACCTCCGTTCGGTCATCCCTCTCGCGCCTCCCACGACTTCCGCCAAGATGGTCCGCTTGTCCCTCACCACGATCCTCGCCGCTGCCGGCATGGCGCAGGCCCTCGCCTCGGGCAACTGCACCGGCGTCAACGCCATCAGCACCAAGTGCACCTCCAAGGAGACCGCGCACACCCGCGACTTCTTCTACGTCGGCGGCCGCTACATCGAGACTGCTACTGGTAACGTCACGGTCGACCAACTCTACGTCGAGAAGCTCGTCCCCGTCTCTGCTGGTCGCGCGCGCCGTCGCGGTGTCACCGCCGCCAAGCCTATGGTTTTCTTTCACGGCGGCGGCACATCAGGTGTCACCTGGCTCAACACTCCCGACAACCGCCCCGGCTGGGCCTCGTACTTTTTGCAGCAGGGACACACCGTTTATCTCGTCGACGTTGCTGCGGTCGGTCGCTCCTCTGAGAACAACCTCGACAACTTCACGATGATCGCCGGCACTGCGGCTGAAGGCATTCAGAGAGGTTTCACGGTCCCGGAGGTGTACAACACTTACCCGCAGGCCTACCTGCACACGCAGTGGCCTGGTACGGGCCTCAAGGGCGACCCGACATTCGAGCAATTCGCCAAGACCATTATTCCTTTGACGAGGAGCTGGGAGCCCCAGGAGTATGCCCTCCGCGCCTCCGGATGCGAGCTGTTGTCCCTGTTGGGTGAAAAGGCGTACCTTGTGTCACACTCTATCGGAGCCCGCGCGCCCATTCTTCTATCCAACGACTGCCCGCAGTACATTGCCGCCAACATCAACCTCGAGGGTACCACGATCCCGTTCTGGTCCTACAACATCACCTTGGGCGGCACGCCCACCAACCCATGGGGCTTGACCAACACCCCGATCGACTACGACCCTCCCATTGCCAGCGCCGATGAACTCGAGACCGTCGTCGTTGGCAACGAGACCCTGGCCCTGAGGAGCTGCCACATGCAGAAGGAGCCTGCGCGGAAGTTGCCCAAGATCGCCAGCGTGCCGTACTTGATGGTCACCGGCGAGGCTAGTGTTCACATTACGTACGATCACTGCCTGGTCAACTATCTTAAGCAGGTTGGTGGTAGCCCGGAATGGATCAAGCTTGGAGAGATTGGAATCAAGGGCAATGGGCACTTCATGCATATCGAGAAGAACAGCCTGGAGATTGCCGAGGTTGTGAATGATTGGATCTTGGAGAAGGAGAGCCAGTAAGAAGTAATAGTAATACATCTCAATCCATTGTTCAGCGACAGATCTGTTTATCAACCCCTTTGTCTTTTGGCAGAAATTCCCCTGGTTTCGTAACCTGACCACACCACAAAAGAGGATTCAAAAGTGACGAATGGGTTACACAGGAGTATAATTGTTCCGAATAAATCGTGTTATCTGCAGTTTCGGGCATGTAACTCGGAAGCCCCGGCATGCTCTGCTAAGGACTGGTTCCTTGAAATAAATTTGAAGTGCGATGATACTGGGCATGCCCAAGTCCCAAAATATTCCCCCTAAGGACAAAGAATATTCGAGAAAAGGCGACAACTATGAAACATTTTGATGTCTAAGAAACCTGCGCATTAGAATTTTGCGCTTGCATTGTAACTTGGATGCTTCCTTAATTGCGTTTGTCGGTGTTCCTGTTGCCGGCGATCTCAAGTAGAGGGCAAGATTTGGCACTCGCCAATGCATCGTAATATTGCGGCGAATAAAAGTGAGATTCCAATGGCCACAAAAGCCATGGACCGCTGCAAGTCTCATCACTGTCATCTCATGATAACTAAGGTAGTCGATCAAATCAAAGGTTACTTATGCTAAGTTGCAAGTCTCAAAGTCCGGATGCACAACAACGAGCAATTGTTGTCTGTTGGGAGACTTCACAATCCACGATCTGTCAGTCCTTTTATGTTTATTATTTGCTTACCGCAATGCCTCTCCTGCTTGGGGAAACCTAAGGGCACAGAACGACGAATTAGGTATTTTGACTTGTAGTCACCCGTTTTAATACCTATATCCCAGCACGAGATGCAACCTGCGACGCGATTGCCTTTCGACGATGGTAAGCTACTCGCCAGACCAGCGGCAAGGGAAAGTCTTGCTCTGCGCCAACTGCCCCGTTTCACAGCAATATAAAGGCCTTGGAGCGCGGTGATGGAACTAGCGCATTTCAAAACACAGAAATAAGGTAGTCATGCATCAAGATCCGACTTCGCCCTGCTTCGTGTGCTCAGCATAGTCTGCCTGGAACACCATACCTCAACGACACATCCGTGGAGTGTCAGAATCATCAGCGGTTCTATCCTCCTATTATCCCGAACGAATAGCATCATATTGATGATGAAGTCCAAAGGTAAAATGCTTTGAATTTAGTGGATGTTCTGCTGGTACATGGGGCAATACATTGCGCATCTTACCGACATTGTAGCAGCGCTCATTCATGCGGAGAATACTGATTTGGCCTCCTCGGTATCCTGACACGACCCCAATGTAGTTTGTAATATAGGTCGCCAATCCGTCATGACATTCTTCTCAAAAAATAGATCGTGTCCTCTATGTCTACATCATTTTCACGGGCCGTTCTTTGACGAAAGCTGCCAATCCACTGTACTGGATTCAGCTTACCAAACACACTCGCCAGACTTTGGTTGCCAATATTTGCCCGAACAACATGCAGCTGATGACGAATAATGTAGACGATGGTTAGCGGAGGTGGTGGTGACTCTAGAGCTACTATTCCACCGTCCCAGACGCTACCAGCATCCCCCCGAGGCATAGATATCATTGTATGAGCCACATAATCCTCAAGTTCCCTAACCCTAATCCTCAAAGATTGAGCAGTTGGTGGAGGGCGCCTATTGTGTCTTTGTTCTGAGCTTTGCAGACTGTAGTTGCGCCCAATTTATACCGAAAGGGTACTGCCCGTCTCCGATGATCAAGCATTCCATGGTTCCCGAAAAATGAAGCCCTCGCAACTGTCGTCCATAATAGTTGGTTTTCAATCGAAAGGCCATGGCATACCTGGCTACCAATGGTAAAGCGTGGAACATTAAGGTCCCTTACAGGCAGCCTCAATACATTATGTGTCAATAGACCTCGCGAGGTGACTACAATGAGACCGAATGAGTTTTGACTCGTCTTGAATAATCTACGAGCAACGGAGGATGGAGACAGTGGTGGTTATGGAGGAAGGGTCTCATATTTTCGAAGGTCGGATCATGAGCACGTATCTTGATGGACAAATTGTATCCAGGCCCGCGAAGGTCATGGACGGATATGAAACATTTTCTTTTACTCAGAAAACCCGATAGCTGTGGGGGAGCTTTTATAAGTTCTGATATCTTCTATTGCGCTGCAGAAAGCAAGAGGCAGAAAAAGATTGGCGATTGAGATAATGAACACTGGCCACCAGCTTGGACAGTGTTTACAAAGTCGAATGATGATCATCGCGTCACATGCGATCAAGTGAAGTTTATGGTTCATACAACAAAAGAAATCTCGATTCAAGTTCATCGCGCCAGGGATATCATCGCTAAATTAGAAGATATGATGCAAGACTGCGTCTTTGATTTTCACCAAACCACCTCAATACCCTTTTCCTCATGCCTGCGCCAGCGATGTCTGCGACCACACAGGCAGTAGCACAAACAGCAAGCTGCACAGACTGGCGAAGACAGCACCACCAACCATGGCCTGTGTGACAATCTTGTGTTGCAGCCTCCTGAGGTGGACGTCCTTGACGCGAATCTTGCGGTCGAAGATCATCATCCGTGAGACAAACTTCATCAGGCCAGACTTCTGAGAAAGAAGAGATGCGCTGTCGTCGAATCTTTCCCATGGCAGTGGTTGACGTCGAGTAAAGAGCAGGAGAAAGAAGCAGCTACCCCTAAGACCGGAAAGAATGAGAGACATGCCGACGAACCACATGGGCCAGGGGGCAAAGGCGTTGTAACGGCTGTGTGATCCCATGAATGGGACGAAAGCTCGGAGGAGGACACAGAGGAAGCCAGCGACAGTCAGAACAATGCCCATGCTCGTTGCCATGCAGAGTGTCTCAAAGGTGCCGTTGGAAACACCAAGTCTAACGAAGTTGCGGTGCGAGCAGTTCTTGAGGAGACCGTAAACGTGCTGAGCGATAGGGCGGAGATGCGAAGGGTCGGAAGAATGTTGGAGGTCGAGAAGAGCCTGGTCGCGAAGGGCGGGCGGGATGTTGAGCTCCTTCTCGGAGCCAGGCAGGAGGAAGGTCTTGACGACGGCGTTGAACTCGACTCGGTAGGCGGAGTTGGGTGCGATGCGAGCAGGGACGACGTTGGCCACGTTGTTCGAGCAGATAGGCTTAGCGCAGGCGTTGGCCCATGACTTGATGCGATCGCGGCCGTTGGGTCCGATTTTGCTGTTTGGCCTGCATGCGGCTTCAGGGGCGATGAGCTGGACGATGTTGGTCATAGTCTCATTGGCTGAGAGGCGTTAGTCGGGATGCAAGTAGATGGCGTGGCATGACTGACCTGCTTCAGGATCGCACTCAAACTCTGACATCTTCAGTGATGGGAGCTTGTGCTCGATGGAATCCATCGCGCTGTCGATGGCACTGTCCCTGGATGATGAGGCATCACTTTCCTTCTCGGCCATAGGAAAGTTGTTGAGGCTTCCTGTCTTGGCGTAGGCCGATTCATAGTTGCGGAACCTGGTAAAATGTTAGACTTAATGCAGAGATCAGTTGAACATAAGGACGAACATACCAGACGTAGAATTCAAGGTTTTCCGGAGAAAACTCAATGTACTTGAGGTACATGTAAAAGTCATACAAAGACATTGGCGAGCCTAATTGGAGAAAGTCAGCAGATATTCTTGACTGATTCCCCGGTGACGACGTTTGCTTTCGGGGTGCGTTGCGCGGAGAAGATGGGATGCTCACAGGTCGCGTTGGCCAAAACCTTCTCCAAACTCAAGCGGGCCGGGATGGGACTCTTGTCTCTCCCGTCTCTGCTCAAGGGTCTCCTTCCGGTCCGAATGGCCGTGGCATACTCACGAAAGTCTCTGTATTCGGGCTTCTTGTACCAGACCATCCAATCTGGGAAACTGAACCTTGGTTTCTTCTCCTCGATCCTGGCGGATGTCGTCGCGGGCGTCGTTGTGGCCGCCGTCGTAGTCTGAACCTCCTCCTTCTCCATCTTGGGTTGAATGTCCTGCATCGTGTGATTTGTGTTATCCAATGTCGTGTAACCGTCGTTGAATGTGTATGGCACAATCCGGATGAAGGGGCAGAAACAAAAGGCCGGTTTGGAGACGCATCCGGGAGACGCTGGAGTGATATACGAATCCTGCCTCCCGTTAGTGTCATTTCATGTGCTGCGGCGCCCATGACCCCGTCATATCAGTCTGCAGACAAGGACTAGGCCTCGACGAGGCCGAGTGGGTGCCGCTGCCGCTGCAGACAAACCGCGCACAACCGCACGGGCCAAAGCAGCGGCCACCAGACGAACAAACGAACTCGAAGGGGTATGGGGCTGTTGCGACGAATCGGTCAGTGGCAGCTCCTGGCCAGTCGGCACCCTTCCCCCCTCTCTGTATCGGCCAAGGGCTCTCCCTCTCTACTGCGACAGTCCATGACCAATGACGGTGTACGCGGGGGAGAAGCCACGTCTGATGGGAGGCGTGCGCCAGTGTGCCATTTTGGGCGGGAAAGCGGGAACGAAACTCGAATTGCGTAGCTCGATGTTGGAGACTGGGGACTGGAGTTTGGAGCCGGCGAGTACTTCGGACGACCGGCGAGCCAGCCGAATGTAGAGTGGACGAGTCGAACGAGTCAAAGCGGCTGCGGTAGTGCTCGAGGTTTAGCCCATGTTGGAGGGTCCTTTTTTAGCTCGTCAGTTAGTGTCTTGCACTATTTCTGACTCTGCATGAGGAAACACCTGATTCTGTGATTCTGTCCCGTAGATTCCAGTTGGCGCCGATTGACCCCGTGCCTTATCGAGTCGTCCTCATGGCAATGGTTGTGCAAAAATGTCCTAGGGCGCCGTCCCATGTCCCGGCGTTGGGACCATTCCCGGGTGTTGCGAGACAGAAAAGGTGTGTAGCGTCAGGTCCGTCTCGCCCTTTGGAGCTGAACTTGTGCAGGGCTTATGCAAGAGTATTGGCGGAGCCTGAGGCGATCGGAATCTTGTTTGTCTCGCGTTCTGACATTGAACAAAGGAACCATTCATCCTGCTTGGCCGTACCTCGGTCTCGTGTTGGATGACATTTTGCCCCCAATCTCCCCGGATGAGTGTCGCTATATTTGGCCGCGCAAATGCAGGACTGTGCCGGACCGCCGCTGGGTGATGTGGTCAGAGTTTGGGGTGCCCTGGAATCGCCGAGAGCCGAGAAGGATTTGGAGGCGGAGGGAAATCGGTCTTTTGTTCCCATTGTTCGTTGGAGGTCTCGCAGATGAATCGGAGGACCGCTCCCGCGAGGATTCCAACGGCGCCGGTATTTGCTGAGTGTGCAATGAATGGCCGAATGACGACGACGACGAGAAGGATGCTGGCTGCAGATCGAACTGCAGAGCGGCAGAGAAGAAGGTTTCCCCTCTGGCTGGAACACTGACGATCCCCCCCTCGTGGGAATTCTCGGTAACCGGCGATGGTGCTCCCTTGCCTTAGCCTGCGTGAGGTAATCGACAAGGCGGAGAAGGTAAGGTAGATAGATGCAAGATCGGTGCAGCGATCCTCACCACGTGGAAAAGGACCGCGCAGGTCGCAGGGCAGAGCCCAGGGCCAAAGCTAAGGCAGGCCGTGGATGCTGCAGGGGGCACCCACCCACGTCCACGTCCACGTCCACTGAGAAGAGGTGGCCCCTGCCTCTTCCTTGGGACGAACCTGCGCATGGGCCCTGGGCCGAACCTTAGCGCTTGCCCACCTCACCTCAGTCTCTCTCTCCTTCCCTGCATTTGCATTTGCATTTGCATTTCGTCCTCCCTTTTTTTTTTTTTTTTTAGTCTTCCTCAAGGCACCTCCGTATCCCATTTCCATTGTCTGAGCGACTGGAAACGCCGTTGCGGTTTGCCATCCGTGCTCTGCATTTCTCTTGCATGTGCTTCTGCAATTTCGACAATGCTTCTGGACCATTCTCAAACCGAGCTGAATGCATGGAAAACACATTGCAAACACACATGCAAACACGCGTACAAAAACGTTGCCGGCGCTGCCATGCACCACCACCACTACCAACATCTGCACCAAGCCGTCCGGAGGCTGGCATGATTCAGGCACAACCATCCGAAGGACGTTTGTAGCCCTGAGATTGGTAGCGCCTGTCCGCCGATCAAAGATCTAATCAAGATTAGCGCCGGGGTTGGGAGCATGCATTTGTCGTACGAGTGAGACATTCACGCGGAATTATTGATTGCGAAAAAGATGATTGGGGGGCCGAGTGTTTGGGCGAGACATTTGCAAGTCAAAACTCTTTCTTCTCGTTTGTTTGCCCTTTTCCCCTCCCCTCCCCAAGATGGGAAAATGCTCGCTGGTGTCTGACTCTGCGTTCTCAAAGGATCAACCCATGTCCCATGATCGAACCCCTGCTGCTGCCGCTGTCAACTCCGCAGCCCCCATCCTGTCAAGCTGGGCCGCCCCTCTTCCATCGAGCTTCCATCCATGGACCATGAAAATTAAAAACCCCTTGCCTTGAAATGACTCGAAGCTAAATTGTCAGTAGCCAGGCACATCTCACCTGAGGTCGCACACCGTCTTCACGACAAGTTCATCAGATATTCAACCGCCTCCCTCCCTTCAAGAAGCGGCCCGAGTGTCAACACCAACTCGATAGCTCCAGGAACCAGCAAAACTCTCTTCAACGCTCCAGTGTCACCTTCCCCTCGGTCCGTCGTCTCCTCCTCCAGACAATCGGCCCCAAAAAGACCCGTTCCTCCGTCCCTGGGCACGCGTCCGCGTCGCGGTGTCAGCATTTAATCTGCCAAAGTCCGGCTTCCGGTACCACGTCCCACCGCGCCTCTAGCGCAGGCCTGACTTGTGTGAACCACAACTGCACGGTCCAGTGGCGCTTGCTTGAAGGTTGCAACATGTACATGAGAGAAGGAGGAGGCTTATCCTTCTTCTCTCTCTCGCCTATCGCCGGGAATGGCGGTATGGCGTCCAATCTGTCTGCGGTGGCAGTGGCTGCGCGTTGAAACAACGTCCAAATATCGACATTGATCTGTCATGTCTGGCTGCATGCGGCAAGGCGTCGTCGGTGTTTGAAGGTGGGAGTAAATAGTAATCATGACGTTTGGCACCAAGCCCTCCCCCAAAAGCACCATTCCTTTCATTTGTCTACCCAAACTCAAATGTCGCCCCTCGGAACTCGTCCAGATCCGTCGTCAGATCGAACAAGGGGCAGAGGAGCCAATGACAATTCTCGCTGGTCTCGCCGCGGAAGCGCGTAAGCAGAGGACATCCAGGATTTCCAAGCCACGTACCCTATGAATTTTTGTCAACGATGAAAGGTCCTCCCGAGATCGACGTTGAACTCTTTGTTTGTCTGAGTAAGTTCAACACGCATCACTAATCCTGTGACTGTGAAACTGTCAGACTGTTGGTCTTTTCTCTCCGACTCTCTCGCGTCAGCATGTCCTCCGATTTCTACAAACAAGAAGCTACCATGCAGAAGCTCCGTTGCCTCCAGATTCAAGCCATTTATTCGACCCAATGTCTCATGAATCGTGTTCCACCCTGTCGCGCGTAGGAGTCCACCTAACAGGAGCGTTTAAGTTTTGTTGCGGAAGCGGCGGGTGAGTAGACGCATGCGTCCGCCAAGACGGGAGCCATGACATGAAGGGCATGGTAGTCCAGTGTGTTGGAATGCTATTCCAGCTCGAAGCTTGTACATGAAAATCAATGATCTGCGATTTCGTCTACGCAGCTTGGGAAGCTTTGGCGCGAACCTTTGCGACGGATGCAAAGCCTAAACGACTTTGTTCATCTGGCTGACCAATCGTATGCGAAGAGCTGCTTCCGAGTCGATTGTACTGTGCGCATGGCTAATCTGAAGTTCTGTCTTGATGGTAATGTCTTCAAACAATGCAACGCTGATCCACGCATCAAGCCTTGTCTTCAATTACCTCGCTCCATCCCAATTTCCATGTCCCTGCGAGTCCTCAGGAGGGTCTTCACATATTCTCTTCCTCCTCGTGCTGCTCAACGTATCGCAAGAACTTTGCCATTGCTTGAGGTCCAAGAATAGGCTTTCCCTCTTGATGTTGCTGCTCATTGTACCGTTGAAGTACCTGGGTCCATCCTCTCATGCGTGCCTCGCGGATCGACACAAGCTTTGCTCGAAGACATTTCAGTTGTGGATGCAGGGCATCGATCTCAGTTTCGAGTTGCTTGATACGCTGAACAATCTCGGAATTCTGTCGTGCGACTGTGTCCTAGGCGTCAGTATGGAGCGATTCGTAAATCGAGGCGAAATCAAAAGCGTTGGACTCGTTGGCGACTTTGATGCCTTGCTGGTCTCGAGCACTAGCACCGCTGGAGAGCATCGAGACTGTCGTTGGGACAGAATTTGGGTCAAGATCAGCAAGGGAATTTTCTCGCGCAAAGGTGTCCCAAGTGTCGGCTTGGAGCGACTCGTAGAGTTGCGTCAAGTCAAAGACCTCTGAGTCGTTAACGACGTTGATGTTTTGCTGATCTTGGAAACCAGCACCGTCGACGAACATCGATACCGGTGTCGTCATAGGAGCTGCGTCGAGAACAGCAACGTGAATCAAAGTGCCGTTGTCGACATCGAGGACCGGGTTTCCGTCGGTCGTCAGTTCAAGCCACCAGTCGATGAGGTACCAGAGCCGAGTGAAGGTAGGGCCGTCATCACCCAGGCTGCCGATCTGCGTGGGATAGGCGAGGTACGCCTTCCGGGCCTCATCGTACTTGTCGATGCCGTAGGCAACGTTGCTTTCGTGCGTGTTCTCTCGGAGAGTAGCCCACGCCACGTCTTTGGCGACAAGGTGGTCACGGATCGCTTTGAAAAGATCTGGAGTCAACAAGTCAGCCCGAACAACTGTGCTGCTGACACGGCCGAGAGAGCCCTTCACACGGAGCTCTGCCAGTGCAGCTTCATATACGTTTCCGAGCCGCTCGGCTACCATCACGCGACTGGCTTCCTTGAGATGATATGTTCCATAGCGCTTATCGGCATGGCAGGGATTCGCCTAAAGAGGTCTCCATCAAGGCCAAGTTTCGGTGTCTAGATCGTCGTCGGGGAAGGTGAATCCAGGCAGGCGGAGGTTTTCATCTATTCTGTCGCGGTTTTCATACCACGCTGTTGCGTCGTCTGGTTCGAATCCCCCGTTGTCGAAAGTGGAAGACTCAAGGTGCTTTGGTCCAGCCATCGCTAGATATGGTAATCGAACAAAGACAATTGATGTATCGCGAAGGACTCTGGTTTGAATAATGAGATGGAAGAGGGTTGTTCGTGTAGTGTAATATCTTGTCTTTGGTGTGGTAGTTGATGTTGTTTAGTTTGGGTGGCGCTGTGGAAGGGTCCAGGGGAGACGGCGGTCCAAACGGCGGGGCCTGTCATACGATGTACGTGACTTCCAATAGATCTTCTGACTGTGATGCGCGTTCAGGTGAACGGGTGGTGACTTCCGAACCGGTTCCAAGAAGGTGGGTGGCGGGCGTTGCTTTCCTTCTGTTGCGCAGCAAAGACTTGAAAACACTGGAGGCAAGACCAGATGGAGGCATATTCGCACTGCTGTCGCCCTTCATACTGTGTATTGCCTGCGCAACATTCTGGACCATTCGAAAGTTCATTTCATTAGCTTGTGCTTTTCGACATTTTCGGGTCGGCATCACGGGGGAAGGCTTGCTTTAGAAGAAAGATATGAAACGAAAACAAGACCTGGGGCCTGGAACCTGTGACACCAAGGCCGGGTTGATTGTGACTGTTATCAAGCCAACCTTTTCATAGTCAAGCACATATCTTCCAGTGAGCCGTGGCTGGCTTTCCACAGCTACTGGCTTCGACCAGCCATATGACCAACCTCAGTAGCTCATAGGTGTTGCCATTAAGCCTTGGTCTTGCCCGATCTATACGACAGGCTTCTGGACTTGGTCTAAGCCTAGACAGCTTCCACTGACAAGCTTGAAAGAAGTTATTCGATGAGCTCGCTTCATCCTGGCACCAACTTGTGCAAGAATTCGCCGTTGTAGAACACTCATCAGAGCTTTGCCGCGACACGGTTTCATTCCGTTCATCCCTTGATTTCTTGAAAGATTTCTAGTAGTGAAGTTCGCCAACAAAAACCCAAACAAGCCTTAAATCGCCCATGAGCAAGTAATTGAGGCTACCTTGGAGTAAGTCTCGTTACATCCTCTACGACAAGGTGTCCATGTTCAGGTATTTGGTTTCTTATGACTTCTTAACGCACGCCTTAAAAAGCCGCGTTGAGAATTGGCCTTGTGGTGTCTGTCCTTGAGCGCGGTTGATTTAAACATCTTTCTTCCCTTCTAACTTTTTTCTTCGCAGTTTGCTACCTAGAGGCGCACCTTGTTAACTGCTGTATAACTCTTATAGGGAAATATTTAAGGACTAGGATAGCTTAGGCTAGAGAAACCTCTATAGCTACCTAAGGGAGTATATAAAGAGAGCGTAAATCGCTAAAAAATAAGTATCTCCTTTTTTATACTACTATAACTTATTATACTAAAATACTAAAATAATATTATATTTATTATTTCTATAACTACTACTTTAAAAATAATAATAACTTTATTTAGTTTATTAGAGAAAAAGAGGATAATATCTATAAGTTTTAAAGTAAATACTTTTTTTTTAAAACTATAATAAATTTAAAGAAATATTATTTTTCTATTATTTATTAATATATATTATCCTCTACTAATATAGCTATAATAATCTATTTTTTTTAAAATATTTAATAAGTTTAAAGATATTACTAAAGTATTTAAAAATAATAAAATAACTAATAATTAATATTATAAAGTAAATTAATTAAACTATTTAAAATAAGAGAACTTATTAATAGAACTTAAAATAGTACTATAGTTTAATAGAGTAATAGTTAATAAAAGTAGTTAAATATATAGGGAGTAGTTAGAGTAAGGGGGACCTCTTATATATCCCTAGTTATATAAAAATTCACAAAAGAATTCTTTATAAAATGTGATTTAAACATCTGCTGGGGGCCACCGCGCCGGGTGGACCCTTGCAGAATTCTGCCGCTACCAGCGAACTATAGGGGCTAACAAACATTAACTTTACATCGAGATGTCAAAAACAAATATAGGTATAGCTAGGAGAAAGGGCTGCCGATAGCGGGCAAAACCTTGGTCATGTTGACAAAGTACGGTCGGCTCAGGTTCTCGGCAGGGAAAACACATTCCCTTTGCGTCAAGGTCGCAATCTGGCAATACGAGCTTCTCTTGGCGTTTGGCGTGACGAACCCATCACGACAGCCACCTTCCTGTTTAGATCATTACTGCTGCATATCAATGCTATATATAAGAGACCTAGCACCGTACCTCAATGAATCGAGTTTTGGCACATCCCGAACTTCTCAGTGAATGCCTCCTCACTGCAGACATCATGAAGCTAAAGACGCTGTTCGCCGACTCGATTGCGCTGGCGACCATCGCACATGTGACGGCCCAAGAAAAATGCGGGTCTAATTTTCCGGAGCCAGAAGCAGTCCAAGCTGCATCTTCTCTCCGTTCAGCACATCGAGTAGAGGGCTTTGCCAGCAGCTTCCTCGGTAAGAGGGCCGATGGCTTGCTGATCCCGACGTATCTTCACGTGGTTGAGGATGAGGCGCACGCAGGTTTCGTCACAGACAAGATGATCAACGACCAGGCATGATCCTACCCTTCGCGACCAGGGAAACTACCCACCGCTAACGAGTTCTCAAGATGAGAGTTCTCAACGAGACGTTTGCCCCACACAACATCCAATTCGTTGTCAAGAACACGTCGCACACCGTCAATGATGCCTGGACCCGCCAAGCCCGCATCAAGGAGAAGGCCGAAGCTCTGCGCCAAGGCGGCTACGATGAACTCAACATTTACTTCGAGACGGGCATGATGACAAATGCCGGTTCCGCGACGGGAATTTGCAGCTTTCCGGTGGAAGATCCTTGGAACACCGGAATCAACGGAACTTCGTGGTACACTTACGACGGCTGCCATGTGAGTGTCGGCACGATGCCCGGGGGACCAGGCGTGCCTTGGGATCCGGAAGACAACAAGGGAAAGACGGCAACTCACGAGGTGGGGCACTGGTTTGGGCTCTTCCATGTTTTCGATGGTTTCGACTGCAACGGCGAGGGTGACTACATTGACGACACCCCGGCGACTCAGGTTGCGACGGTTGGGTGTCCTGTTGAGCAAGATTCCTGCCCGGATCAACCTGGACTCGACCCCATCCACAATTACATGGACTACTCGAAGCATGACTGGTAGGTTTGAATCATTCTGGGCCAGTACGATGGGGCTCGCTGACGTTTTGTTAGTCTCTCGGAGTTCACTCCCCTGCAGGAGGAACGAATGTACCGATCTTTCAACACTCTCAGGTTAGGGCGGTAAGGCAGGAGCTTTGGCCTGTTTTCATGTTTCCCGATGATATTGCTATTTGAAAGATTTGACAGCAGTTGTATGCTTCCTCTATGTCTTTCAAAGTCCTAGAGGCGAAGGTGAATTATTAGACTGCAACCACGACAGGGAGATTTCGGTTTCTCTAATCATTCTTGCCCCTCGAAACTCTGAATTAAGATTCGTTTGTACCTCCGAATTGGATGCCGACCCTTGTTGTTGTTCACCTGGAGTACAACATGCCATGATCTTCCCCCGAGTTGCGAGATGCTCGGCACATTATTCACGATCTGGACCCTCGGACCAACCGTGACATTCCTGAATCCTGCATTATTAACCTCAAGATACCCATCTGTACCAGTTGGCGGTGAAAGCGGACGTATCTCAATGAGTCCCTCGAGATATGCACTGGCCCAAGCAATAGAGGCTGTGTTGTAAGCATACCATTCGAACTCGAGGTGAGTCGAGTCTTCTGGGTGATCAGAATCGTAGGTCTCGCTGGCATCCAGCACAACAGAACCTTTGTACGGAACAAAGATCTCCATGGCATCGAGGCTGATGGAGCCGTTGACATTTATATTAGGTGGGTGAGTTGCGTCTTCGAATTTGTCCGTAACACTCCACTCAGCGCTGCCGCAAGTGTAAGTCACTTAGTAAGTAATATAAGCTAATTAGCTAAGTTAACGCTATTACTACTACTTAAGTAAGTAATTTATTACTTTTTAATTAAATTATTAGACTTAATATCTTATTTATAAATAGATCTAACTAATAAGAAACTATAAATTAGTTAGCGTTTTATTTATTCTAGTATATATAGTTACTAAAATATAATATTATTACTAATATTATAATATCTTTATATCTAATTAATACTTTATTAGCAGTCTAGTTAACCTATATAAGTAGGTATTACAGTTCACTCTATACTTTTTTTCACAGTATTAAAACCTAATAGTAGCACTTTAACTTATACTTAATCTTAATAAAGTAAATAAATAAATCTCAGTATAACTAGTTATTAACGCTTAGCTTAACTTATCCCTAGCTATATAGAAGAGGGTAAGTAGGTAGGTAGTAGAGTAGTAAAACATACTAGTGAGAGCGTTATTTATAACACTATTATTAGCTAGAGCTTAGCGATAGCTTAAACCTACACTTAAGGGCGTAAACTTAATAGTATAACTCTTTATTATTATAACTAAAAGGGTTCTTATAGCTATAATATAAGAACTTAACTATTTAAATAAAGCCTTAAGCTTATTCTTTATATCCTCTTATATATATAATAATTATAATATCCTTCCCCCTTATTATACTTATATATAAACTAAGTAAAATTATACTAAATAACTTAATCTATAAAACTAAAATTAATAAAATTAAAAGTTCTAAGTATAATAACCTTCTTTATACTAATAAGAAGATTCTACTTAAATTCACTCTAAATTACTTACTTAAGATAGCTAATAAGGATAATATAATAGAGTTATATAGCTTTAAGGTTAATATAGAGATAGTTAAGGTTACTAATAGTAATTCTAATATATATAACTACTTTATAGACTTCTTTAAGATAGCTAAAGTAACCTAAAAGCTTCTTAGTAAGTTAGGAAGGGTAAATCTAATATTAAGAGTATAGCTAATAGTAGTAGGGCTCTTTATTAAAACTATATAGCAGGGTAGAAGATATTATCTGAATAGCGTAATAGTATAGAGGCTTTAGGGCTATTATGCTTAGTAGAGCAGCGCAGACGTTTAAATAGCAGAGGAGACTTAAAAGGTAGGTATAGCTTAGAGGAGCGAGAGATAGAAGAGACTAATAGAGATAGAGGTAGCTAGAGGAAGACAGTTAAGGCTTATTATAATAGTTAAAGTTAGAGGAGCGTAGAGGCGAAGATAATATCTAAGTCTGAACTACCTATAGTTATATAACCTAAAGGTTGTTAGTAGAGGGCGAGAGGACTAGTCTAGCTTTTGCAGTTAATACTAGTTAAATTTTATAATATAAGGCTAGCAGCCTCTAATTAATACTTTATAAACTACTTTTAAGGCCTCTAGCTAGCTACTATGATTTTTACTTAGAATTTATACTATAACGACCTCTAACTTCCCCTTTTAGCTAACAGCCTACTAGTTATATAATCTTTTAGCCTTATTTCCCCTACGCGCGCTAAGGTGCGCTATCTATTAGATAATCTCATCACTTTTAATATTAGTTTAATAATAACTTCATAACTTTAACTAAACTTAATTACTATAGCAGACTTTCTATAACTTTTTGATCTATCTTCTAACTCTTATATATACCTTTTATCACTTAGCTTTCTTCTCTGCTACTTACCTTAGTTCTATATTTATTAGTAATATCTATAATATTATTCAGCTAGGTCAGCTTACTAGCTATACTACCCTATTAAGGATATCATTAAAGTAAACATAATAGTTAGAACTAGTAATAAATATAGCTATATCTTTTAGCTAAGGTATATAGGCACTTCCGATAGCTACACTACTAATATTAGCCTTTAGGACTATTAGGTATAACTTAGCTATAGTTATCTTATCCTTAAAGCTTTATAAGTAGAAGAGCGTTAACTTACTAATTATAGTAAGCTTAGCTTTATAGTTAGTATTAATTATTATATCTTAGGGCGTACCTTAAGCAAAGCCCTATAGTATAAAGCTCTATAGATTAAGTAGAATAGAACATATTATAAAGTTATAGGAATCTAAGTAATTTACTTATAGGTATACTAATAAGGGATAAGCTTAAGGCTTAATAAGCAGTAATATCTTAAGTATATAGCTAAGATAAGCTTTTTTATAGCTAAAGACTTTATAAAGCTATTATTATACAGTGTGAGTTATATAGGTAAAGCTATTAACCTTACTAGCAATAAAGCTATTATTAATAAGGCTAATAGCTATAATAGGTAAGTTAAGGTTAGTGTAGGTAGTTATTCTAGACCCTTAAGTATATATACTGTGAAGCTACTAGACTAGGCACTAACTGAGGTGCTTTTACTGCTTTTTCCCCTACTATGAAAGCCCCTACTAGGTAGGCTTAAAACTTCCTCAATATAAACTACTTTTAAAATATTAGATTTTAAGTAATCTTTTTAAAACTTTCTAAAAAAGTAGAAGTTATTATAGTAATTTAAATAATATAAAGAGTATTATAATTAGCTATTTTTTATAAAAAATATTTATTATCTTATATCTTCTTTATTACTTATATTTATATATTTATACTTCTTATAATATTAATTATTATTATTACTTCTTTATTTACTATTAATATATATATATTTTTAAATACTTCTTATACTTAAATCTTAATTTAAATTATAGCTACCCTTACTATTAATACTTTTCTAAATCTTATAATTAATAACTTATTTTATATTATTATAAGTAACTAGAAGTATATAGTTAAAGAGTAGTTATTATAGAAGTGAAATAGAAGTTAATTAAACTAGATTTAATATTATAGCTATTTCTTTATTAAAGTTATATAAAGCTAAGCTAATACTTCTTTTTAAAGTTATTAGTAATATAATATAAAAAAAGCTTTATAACTATTTAGTACTCTTATTACTATTACTAAGTAAAAGTATTTATTTTAATATATTACTTTAAGTTTTTAAATTATATAAATTATATTTTAATAATACTAAAGTAACTATAATATCTATAAAATCTCTTCTCTATTAAATAAGAACTTTAATAGTATTACTTTTACTTTTTTACTTCTTATATTAATACTATCTCTATATAAGAGATTTTACTTTATTAATATTAATATCTTAAAAACTAAAATTATAACTTTTAAAAACCTCTATATTACTTCTATTATTTCTATTAATCTATTATTTATTTATTCTAAGAATATCTTTTTTTAGTAGATCTTTTAATATTATAGTATAGAAGTTATTAGTGAGGTCTTATAAAGCTAAAGCTCTATTTAGGATTAATTTTAAGACTTTTTCTAATATAATAAAGTTTTTATAATAGCTAAACTCTATTTAATAATATTAAAGATATATCTATTATTTAATCTATAATTCTTACTTAATATTTATACTTTTATAGTAGTTATTAGTTATTTTATTAATAATAAAGGTACTTTATAGTTATATTTTTTAGTTTTCCTTTAATATTATAGAAACTATAGTAGTAAAAGCTTTATAGAGACCTTTATTAATATTATTAATTAATATTAGATTTAAAACTATATTAGAGTAATAATTACTAATAATACTATAAATAATAATACTTATTTTTAAGCTTTTTATTAGTAAATTAACCTAGAGATAATAAAAATAAATATTTAAGCTTAATATATATAATACTATAGCTATATCCTTAATCTTATAGCTTAAGTTTTCTTATTTAGCGAGGATTAAAGGATTTTTAAAACTAAATTAAACTACTATTAATTTATAGAGTAGTATAATAAAGATCTAAAAGTATAGTAATATTTTAAACTTATTAGCTAGCTTTAAAATATTATTAAGTTTATATAAACTTCTCTATAATAAATAGAATAGTACTAAAAAGTAGTAGTAGAGATTAATAATAGCTCTAACTTCTAGATCTTCTCTAAGTTATATTAAGAAGCTTAGCTTATACTAAATAATAATATCTATTAGAATAATATATATCTAATAATTAAAAAAGTTATAAAAAAAAAGTAGAGATTTAAGTTTTCTTATTAATTAATAATAATAATAATAATATTAAGTAGTATATATTAAAGTTAAACTTACTTTCTACTAATAATTAGAAGGTTTTTATTAAGATCTTAATACTCCTTAAGCTTTTTTATTACTAAATAAAATAGTATAAAAGCTAAAGTATTAATAATAAATATAGCTAACTTTAAGAAATTATAATAAGTATTAAATACTTTTTTTATATTTTATTAACTAAAAGATATATTATAATACTAATATTAATTTTAAAATTAATAATAATAATAAGAGTACTTCTTAGCTATTATAGCTATTTTAAAGTATATTAACTAAGTTTAATACTATTAGTATAATATTTAAGCCCTACTTACTTATATATAGAAAGATTAAGTATTACTAACTTTATAATCTATTAGAAGGTATAAGGGTACTTCCCCCTCTGTTTAATCTATACTATAAGGCTTAAAGCCTTAGTACTCTATACTAATACTTAATACTAAGCTACGCGTTACTAAGAAACCCTTTATAGGAAGAAAACTTAGGCTGCGAGCGTGGTACACGATGAAGTAAATAATACGCGTATATAATACTATATAATAATTAGCTAGAAGTTATTAGCGCCCTACTATGTATATAGGTCCCTTAAGAGGGAGGCCTATATTTTATAGCAGGTCCTTAATTAATCAGAAGAGAGGAAAAGGGGTTCCTATAGCTAGGATTAAACTAACGCTTATGCGTTTAAGTAACGCATAGGCCTACTAGGCGCATACTACCACGCTATATAGGTCTAACTTTATAATTTACTTTATAATTTAAAACTCTTAATAAAAAATAATAAACCTTTTTTTATAATAATATTAAATAAGTATAATAAAAGTTTTTTAATTACTATAAGTTTCTTAAAGAGTTATTATTATTCTCTAGTATAATTATTTTATACTTATTATATAATATCTTATACTTAAGAGATATATAAAGTAAAGATTACTAAAAAAGATAAATTAAAAAAGCTTTAAATACTTTTATAAAGTATTTTAATTAGTAATATTATTAGCTTAATAAGATCTTATTATTAAACTAATAAACTAATATATTTCTTATTAATCTTAATACTAAAAATATAGAGGATATTTACTATTAATAATAAGTTAATAGCTAATACTATTAAATACTACCCTAAATAGATAAACTTAATTTCTACTTCTATTAGTTTTTAGAGATTATTTCTAATTTAGTATAATAATAAATAAATTATATAAAAGCTTTCTTAAAGCTCTCTTAGCTTATTATTAATATTTTTACTATATTAATAATAATAGCTAACTATAAAAAAGCTTTTAATATTATTAAATTAAACTTCTTATTATAGAAACTTTTAATAATACTAAATATTATAGAAACTTTCTAATTAAATAAGAACTAATTAAAGAAAGAAATAATAATATTTTAGAATTACTTTAAGCTACTAAGAGTATTATAACTTTATTTACTTATTACTTAATTAAGAAGTAATAATAATATCATTTACTATAGTATTTAACTTACTATACTTATAAGTTAGTTAATAATTAAAGCTTAGGAAAAAGATCACTAAGTTAATAAGTATAGGGGGCAAAATTGACTTGATTGCACTTGCGGCAGCGCTGACTCCACTGCATTCATGCCGCAAAGTCGTCCTGGTAGGCATCGCGCCATCGCTAAACAGTGGCATACTGGCTTTGGTGATCCACGCCTGTCACAGAAACGGCCGTGTCCATGGATGTTCCGTACTCGTTGATGTCTTCGGCCTCTGTAACTCGGGTATACCGCCCACCCCAACTACCCCAGTCCGGACGCAAAGCACTATTAAGACCATTTTGGATAAGCCACATGAAGCTGGGCGAGTCCCCCTCCATTCCATAGAGAATCTTGGGATACACCTCACCCAGAGGACCGATCCGGATATTCGGCGTCAGCCAATCGTCTTGTACTTTCGTCACGTTAGCAGCGCCGTTGTCTGCGCTGCCTATGCCGGCCCACGTGGATGATTGGTATTCTCTGAAGCCGTGAACATTGACGATGTACGTGATATCTGGCCATTTGACCCGGACCCACGGCCCTGCATCGTCCTGATCCGAGATCGAGTAGACGCGAAGCCGAGACCGAAGCTCGGCTGCTTCTTTGGGGGTTCTCTCTGTACTGATGAACTGCAGCGCCTGCGCCAGGGTGTTGGCTCCGCCCCAAATGGAGACGAATAACGGATCTGAGCCCGCTTCAAGCGTTTCGACCAGCAATTTGGCACCGTCGCTTAGCGACTCGTTGAGAGCTTGTCGCCCGTAAACCTGGGAACAGCTTGATTGGTGACAATTCATAGCCCCCAGGAAGGGGGCAAGTCGCTTACCACTGGGCCTGACCTCACGAGTTTCAAAAGGTCCTCGGCAGGACTGAACGTTGCATTGGGGTGCACATGCTTGTTTAGATTGTGTACAACTTTACCATAGGCTCTGATAATAAGCTCGATGGCCTCTGGGTGCGTTTCGTTTGGCAAGCTGACGGAGGTTGTAGCTACAAGGCCCTTGGTATCGAACTCATTTGAGTAAGTCAGATAGCGTACCATTGACATTTGGTCATCGGGCTCATTGAGGATATCCGTCAGAATGAACGTCCTGGGCTTGTGGGGAAACTGAGGCAATTTTGTCTAGTCATTGGCGATAACCTCTTGAGATCGAGCATATCCAGAGATGAGTAGGATGCTTGCAAGGTAAAAGAGCTGAAAACGAGCCATCTTCATGTTGTCTATGCGGGCAATGAATCCTGGCTGCGGGTTTGAATTGTACAACTATCGTTGTGATGGGAGCGAGTTTATACATCCCATCCTGACAGCTCGTACGACAGGCGCTTAAAATGCCTGAACAGAGAAAGTAGACGTAAGGGGTAATTGAAACTACCTGTCATTGAATTTGATGATGATCGAAGACATGGTTATGGAAATCCCGGTGTCTTTCGACTGGACCTCTGATGCAGGCAGGGGTCATACCCCGCATCCCCAGCATCAAACTTGGGGTTGGATCGCCAGTTGCAACACCTTTACGCGGAAAATAATACGACGATGGCACTGAGAAAGAAGCGGATGGCAGCATGCACCGGGCGTCGGGAGAAACATTCTGGGTAAAGGTAACAGTTGCATCAGAGCGGTATCACGAGATGAGCACCACAGAAGTTGACAGGTGCTCAATGACAGCATAATCGTATTCAGTGTTGTTTTTTGACGAATCGCTGGATTTTCGCATACGTCTTATTATCCACAGTACTAAACTAGGTAGAAATAACCGCTCTGGTACATGTACTGCCTTTCTGTTGAGAAAGGTTATGTAGAACATGTAGGCGTACACCACGTCGACGGACCCGCCCGATTTCGCCGTGCCGACGCCCACGCTGCAGGGTCTACTTCAATGACCCGAACTCACGGCCGATAGATTTCACTCTCCTGCCCTTCCTTGATGTAGTAGTAAAGCGAGCCATCGATGGCATACCGCAGCCAAAGGCCCCTGCCATCGCCCCAGTCCTCTCCTCGCTGCTCCTGTTCGAGGCCGAGACCTTTTCTGTGGCCGATACCTCTGATGTCGCGAAACACGTTCGACGGCAGCTCCACCACGATGTGCTTCTCCTGCTGCGGTGCGAGATGCGCAAACGCGAGGGCAAGCGGCCTCAGCAGCAAGCGGTCGATCTCAGGCAGGCGAGCGTTCGGATCTGCGTGCCGCTCATTGTCGAGAATGTTCGGGAAGGTGACGATGAGGGAGCGCAGGTTCGGGAAAGAGACTGTCAGGCCGCCCAAGTCCGGGAGCAGCCTTATCCTGTCCTTGTCGCTGGCACGCGCAATGAACGGCAGAGTGAAGTCCCCGAAGAGCAGGAATTCGCACCGCAGCTCGAGCGACCGTATCTGGGCCAGGCGGTGCGGGAGAAAAAAGCGTCGGCCGTCATCCGGGGGGAAGAGAAGCGCATCCAGCAGGTCTCGGCTCTGGATGAAGAACGTGTTGGTTGCGTAGAGCACCTCGACGCCCTCAACGTAGGCCTGCCGGCATGCGCGCAGCCAGCCCAAGGCACCGACCGCGCAGTCGCAGGTACCCCTTTCTGGGGACGCCATGCCGTTCACGGCGGGCCCTCGCGGCCATAGCTCGCACAACATGGCGTCTCCCTCGAGGCAGCCGTCGCGGTGCGGCCAGACATATGGATCGCGGCCGCGGGCTCTGATGAGGCGGTCCACGGGCGACCCGAGTGGGATCACACGGTGACACACACAGCCGTACCAGCGCCACTCCCACTCCCACTCCGGTCCTGTCTTCTTCTTGGTCTTGTAGCCCCCAGACAGCGAAGGATTGGTCATCCAGGGCGCCTCGCCGGCGGCGGCCGAGGCCGCGACAATGCGGGACCAGCTGAGGGGCGCCGCCCCGCGGCCGTGCTCGTGCGCGACTCCGTGGGCCGTCGGGGGGCTCGGCTGTTGCCCGCGCGGGGCCGGCCGCAAGTCTAGGTGCAGTGTACGCCCTCCAAAGGCGGCCACGAGTATGCGCCGGCGTAGCTCCGGTGACAGGAGGGCGAAAGTGCCGAGCGCGGCGACGAGGGTATCTGCAGTAGCGGCGGTAGCGGTCGCAGGAGGCGTGATGGGCCGGGGCCGCTGAGCAGGAAGAAGAGGAAGAGGTGGTGGTGGTAGCTCCGAATAGTCAATTTCCTGGTCGCTGCGCGGCTTCTTCCGACCTCGAACTGCGTCTAGCAAGCGACGCATGCTTGGTCCACTTGCTTGTTGATGATGGATGGACCCCAACCGGTTGTTTGTTCGGTGTGTATGCAGTGTGATGAAACCGCATGGTGTGCTAGAAGCTGATTCGGTGAGAGGTGGTGTGGTCCCGTGTCGCAGGAACGGCGAAGTAGCGTCTGTTAACAAGGGTCATTTTCCTGTACTTACGATGACTCGCTTCCGCAAAAAAGCATTTACAGACGGCTTCTATGCCATGCATCTGCGTCTCATAGTTGTGTTTAGGTCAATGATGTCTCCGCGTAACTCACGCGGAGATGGCTTCACAAGGTCTGTAGCTATGAAAAGGCTTACCTTGGCCACGCATGCGTTATCATTGATCATGCCGTTGGCAATTTCTTAGAATCCTGAAGGTCGGTCGACAGTCCAAGCAATCCTCAAAAACTCAGAATCATGGTCTGGAGTCTGACGCAAACCCTCAAGGGGAGCCGCTCTCAAGACTTATTTTTCATCACCGTTTTCTGGCTGGAAGCTCAAGATAATCGATGGCATTTCATTGGAAGCACTTCGTGCAGCCAAAAGCAAGTTACCAACCTTGGTCCTTCAGTGATTTGTTCTGGGGAGTGGAACCACCCACGATCCCTCGGAACATCGCGACAAAAGGAGCCAGACGACTGACGACTTCCTCTCCCTTCCAGTGACACCGGAGCTTTTCATTTCTTCCACTTGGCCACAGGAATGCTCCTCATAAGTGATAATCTTGCGAGAAATCCCCAGCACAGTATGCGTCCCCAGTGAAAAAACTCGATCCAGTCGGCTGCTGGCAATCTGATCCTTGATAAGGATTAAGCGTCTGAGGGGACGTTCGCTGTTGGGGAAAACGAGACGGATCGTGGCTTTTGTACTTTTTCTGAGATTTTTCCAGGCTCCACTCGATGGGTTGGATGTTAGGACCAAAAGGTGCAGCTGAGTTTTGACTTCATACAAAACCTGGCTGATCTGTGTACGGGTAGCCCACAATCAGCAAAAATGTGTGAAATACTTTGCATCATGAATGCTAGGTAGAATCCATACTTCTTGGTCTGCTCATTATTCACTTAGTCTCACGTAACTTCGGTGGCAATGTTCTGTCGTGCTTTCGACCATCGGTTCCGGGAAAGACATGAACGCCCCGATGACCAACCGCTCATATGTCTCTGATTAGAACCTGCGACATACAAGCAAGAACCAAACGATGATTTCTCACCCCTACACACTCCGACTCACCCCGGATCGCGCGCAACAGAGTGGCTTCAAACTACTGCCGAAGTCTTGTATTCCTATTCGCCAGGTAACAACGGCTGAGATGCAGCCACCCGACTGAGACACATCCCTTACTGAGAGCTGAACTCGTGTTCGGAGAGATCAGTCGCCATCTTACTTTTGAGGTTCCATCGGTTAGAAATACCAGGCAACTGGAACCAACTTGCCCAAGGCGAACTTGAACCACCGGAGAGGCAATAAAGTATATAAACAATGGTGTTTATCTCCATTTTGCCCCTATGCTGAACTATAAGTTATCCTTGTCCTCAATAAATCAGCCAACTGTCAACCTTTTCGGGGCTGCCATGTACGTCTCACGAATTGTGTCTATCGCTCTGAGCGTCCTCACTTTAGGTTGCAGAGCTGCGACCACATTGGCCAAGTGTAATGCCGACAAGTATGTGAAATGCCCGATTATCCGATTGATTACTGATAAGGTTTCTTGTTTGAAGTTGCTATCGAGCTTTGTTCCCTTGTCCATCTCCAACAGCGGTATCTTCTGCCTCAGCATTCTGTGCCACAGTTACAGCCAACGGAATCACCGCCACCAACTTCCCAACTCGCGCGACATCAGCTTGCGGCACGGCTCCCGCTCGTTACATCTCCGCCTGTGCATGCGGCCCCACATGTCCCGTTCCGACGCCGACGTCGACTCCCTGTGCGGCCTACGGCGGTCTGTTGACCAACGGCGACTTTGAGTGCGGCATTGCCCCGTGGGCGATCGAGGTTCTTGACCCGAATATCAAGGCTGGTCTCACCTCAGCATCGGCACACTCTGGAAAAACTTCATTTGAATCGAAGCTACTGGCAGACAGGCCTCTCCAGGAACCCGTCACCAGTACCAGGATCAAAAGCCCCCGGGTTTCCGTGCAGAGAAACGTCCCTTGCAGACTGAGCTTCTGGGTCTGGTTTGACAATATGGACGCTGGCTTTATCGGGGTCATGATCGATGAACAGCCCAAGAGGACAATCGATGCACGGGACGCCCCTGGATGGGGAGTTTGGAAGGAAGTCACCGTGGACTACACCCCTCAGAATAACCACGTCCAAGTCACTTTTGAGTTTCTCTACGGGAGGGATGCTAGCGTGGCTAGGCTCGACAGTGTTGTCCTCGAATATTTGCATTGACGGACAAAGATGTTGATCCGATGTCATTGGGTTTTATTCGGGAGTTGCTTTTCTTGGAACCACACTCCTTTGATCTAGGAACATTCTTACAGACGCTCATTGGAACACACCCAGGCTTGCATTGGCGAGCAAGACAGGTCTCTCGAAGACTCAACCCATCCTGTACTTGTTGTTTCTCTTCCGAAGGTTCAAAAGATAGAAAATACCAAGTCTTGGGAAACTCTCACTCCTTACTCATTACTCATTCAGTCTCTCCTACCGCAAAAGTAGAGGAAACAAAAAGCGACCACGCTATGTCCGAAGTATATCTTATCGCCGAAGCGGAAAAGGCCCCGAGTTTCTTCGAGTCAATGACAGCACGGACCAGGAACCGGGCCGCCTCCGGTCCATAGCCGCCGAAACCGGCCGGAAAGACATGGAAATTGCCGTCACAGTCGCAAAGTCGCGTCTATTCGGCGTTCGTCTCCGAAGCTAACAGCACAGAGCCGCTTGGCGTTGCGCAAACAATTCTCAGAATGGTAGCATATGATGTCCTGCAAATGCTGGGTAAATACGGCCATAGAACGAAGAGGGCTCGTCATATGACATCCGCAGGGCGTGTTCCGCGTGTTTGTTCAGGGGTGCTTGACGGATAAAAGCAGAAACCCTCCGGTCCAGACCACCGGAGCCGTCCAGGTTGCCCAGCTTGAAGGGGAAACTAGACAAGACCAATGAGAAGAATCCATTACACATCGATCCGCGGCATCTGTATCCGGTCTAGCTCACAGTTGCATCCCCCATAACCGTCAATCTCGCCTTTTTCTCTAGACACCGCGCCGAGTTGTCTCCACACTATTCCCGGCGCAAACAAAAAATCCAAAACGCGCCTCGGGTCGGCAACTGGCGTCGAAAACTCGCTTCGTCGAAATTGATCCCCCGCGAATGCCTACTGTATACGGTTACCCAACTACTGTATACAGCTTGCCGAGTCCGACCTCGTGCCGAATTCTCAGTCTATTTTGCTTTGTCACCAACACCCTGACGTCCTGAGTCAATCAACGCGGTGTCGCTGTCCGCCTCCCACAACTTGCCCGTTGCATTTCTCCTGCTAGAGAGAGAAGAGCGTTTTGACAACGAGCGGTCTGGTTGTTTGTCGCTGCCCGGTATGCCTTCTCGATCTGAACCCCCAAGTATTCAGGACAACGACCACGGCGGCGTGGTGCAGATGCCTGACAGCGTTTCCAGGGCAGCGGAAAGTGAGAAGCGAAATGACACTTCGCCGAGCCAAACCAGCAGCCCGCGCACAAGCGAAGAGGTAGAATTCACAGAAGGCGGCTATGGATGGTGAGTCTCGACACCAGAGTCTTCATTCGGTGAATGACGCTGACATGAGAATTAGGGTCGTAGTCGCCTGCGTCTTTCTCATCAATGCACACACTTGGGGTCTGAACTCAGTGAGTGTGACTCCCGCCCGATGACTAGAATCTCATATAGCTGACAAGTCATAGTCATATGCGGTCTTCCTCGCCTACTATCTCAATTCCGGGGCCTTTCCCGGCGCCAGCCCGATCACTCTGGCCTTCGTCGGCGGCCTGTCCTTCTCCGTCGGTGAGTCGAATCTCACACCGACCCCGCGTGCGTGCCGAGCCGCTTACTGACATCCGGCCCACAGCCCTTCTTGTCGCCCCCATTGTGACCTGGTTCATCCCACGAATCGGAACGAGACCGACGGTCGCGATCGGTGTGACGGTTCAATCGTAGGTGCTCTGTATTCTCACCATCCGTCATCAACTCTAACTTGACTTCAGCGCCGCCCTCATCGGCGCATCCTTCACGACGCAAATATGGCATCTTCTGTTGTCGCAAGGCATCGGCTTTGGTGTCGGCATGGGATTCACCTTCAATGCGACAGTCGGCGTCATCCCACAATGGTTCATCGTTCGCCGGTCATTCGCGTCCGCCATTGGTAGTGCCGGCTCGGGCCTCGGCGGGTTGATTTACTCCCTGTCGTCCACTGCCATGATCCACAACATCGGCCTGCCGTGGGCGTTCCGCATCCTTGCCATTCTGTCCTTCGTCGTCAATGGCATATGCTGCCTTCTGATGCGGGACCGTAACAAGGCTCTCGGAAGTGTCCATGCAGCATTCCACAAAGACCTATTCAAGAGGACTGAGTTCTGGCTCTTCATGTCGTGGGGTTTCTTCTCCCTCTTCGCATACGTCATTGTCGTCTTCTCTTTGGCCGACTTCGCCGAGACGGTTGGGTTTACTGCGAGCCAAGGATCGATCGCCTCGGCCATGTTCCAACGTAAGTCAAGCATAAGTACAACATCCCGGCAATGATACTAACGCGAAGCAGTGTCACAAGGCATTGGTCGCCCCATCATCGGCCTCATTAGCGATCGCGTTGGGCGCATCAACGTTGCTGGCTTGGGCACCCTTGTCGCCGGGCTAGCGACTCTGTTCGTCTGGATCTTCGCCGGGAGGTATTTCGCAGGCACCATAGTATACGCACTTTTCGGTGCCTTCGCTGGTTGTATCTGGGCGACGGTCACCCCTGTCGGCGCCGAAGTGGTGGGAATACAGCTCCTGCCTTCCGGTAAGTAGTCAACGCGTGATAACTACTCCGGCTAGCAAAACTGACATTGTGATTCTCAGCACTGTCCATCTTTTGGATGATCCTTGTCCTCCCAGCCACCTTTGCAGAGCCTATCGCTCTTACCATCAAGGGCTCGGGTATCGATGCTTACCTCGGGGTCGAGATCTTTGTTGGTTTCATGTACATTGCAGCCTTTATCTCACGTAAGTTATAAACTACTCTGAGCATAACGTAGGCTTTCATTGCTAACTTCAGAAAAGTCTGGTCCCTCCGCGTGTGGAAGATTCGTGAACTCGAAAGCCTAGATCTACCCGAGCATGAGCGAGCTGACGCTCTGCGCAACAACGATGCCCTCTCCCTTAGCACATCGCGGCGCACTGGACCGAAGCCGAGTCTTGTCCACTCAATCTTCAAGGGAGCTCTGGCTGTGCAACGTGTCTAAAAGGATACTCAGGAACAAAAATGGTCGTTTCATACCTCATCTATTAGAGCATATGTGCATAAAAATGGCATCAACAATGGAAACAAAAGTCAGCCACAGGCTAACTTACACTTGCTTCCCCGCGTATATCCCTAACCAAACACCTTGTTGAACAGCGCTTTGATGAACAGGAATCCAGGCATAAAGCTCGCAAGCAATCCTATCACCATACGCGACAAGACCTCTGGCCCGTACCTGCGAAATCCCTCTTTTGATCTTTCGGACCAAACCCCGATTGCCTTGAGTTCGCGGTACCGGTCTTCCGAGGCCAGCTCCGCGAAGCCCGCGCCAAGGTCGGCGTACGACACCATCATGCCAATCGACTCGACGCCGATGTGGTGCCCGCTTCCGTCCTCTTCGATGATGGCTGGTGGTTGCACCAACAACAATGACAGCGCGTCTTCCTTCTCTGCCTCTTTGAACGTCCTGTGCGCATTGAGGAGATCCTGGTACGGGTAGTAGAACGCATTCTTGACGAGCCAGCTGATCAGCGCCGGCTGCTGCGCCTCAAAGCGCTCGTTCCACGTCGCTGACGATAACAGCAACACGCGCGGCGTCTTCCATGCTGACGAACTAGACCCGTCCTTCAGCTGCTTGAGTGCGGTGACGATAGTGCGCGACGCATCGGTGAGCACGCGGATGCCAGGCCTGTTTTCGTTCTCGCCGAGGGCGCAAATGATCGTGTCGGCGCCGTCTAGAAATCCCTTCACGCGAGAGACGTCGGTGACTTGGCCTTCGACTATTTCTACGCTCTTGAAGGAAGGAAACATAGAAACCAGCTTATCCTTGGAGCGGACATAGACTTTGAGGTCGAACGGGTTGGAGGGGTTCGCGAGGAGGGCCTTCAGGGATTCGCTGCCCGTGCGGCCGGTTGCGCCGAAAATGGCCAGGGTTCTTTTGTGGGAATTTGTGTTCGATGCCATGTTGAACCTTTGTGTGCGTTATTCGGTCAGTGTTGGTGCGAACCTAAGCAGTCATTTCTTGCACTTTCATCAACAGTGAGTTTCTCATCAGTTTTTGTAAAGATTTATTACTACCGTCATCCCATTCTCAGGACGCTGACCGTGTCGTATCTCCGTGATCGAACTCCGGACAATTGCAAATCTTCGGACAACTTAGAGTTGCCAATTGTCCGCGCCGACTAGCTGGACCGACCGCCAAAACACCGGTGCGGTGAAACGAGAACGCCGTCATAGACTTGGGGCGCCCCGCCACGCGAGTCCGCCCAAGTGCCGATTCGGCAATCGCTTTCAACTCACATAACCCAGATCCACCACTGCAGGTCCAGATTGTGGATTCCGGCATCCTTGCCATGGCGGAACCGTGGGGGTCTGGCGTCGGTGACCGGTGGTTGTGACGTCCGTTTTGGCCGGTCGGATGAACCCGCGCAGCGTGGACGGTTTTCCGCCGATGCAGGGTTCATGTGTTGGTGCGATGGTGTCATTGTGTGATGCAAGCCTTATCTGAGACAAAACAATTCCTCTTTCAACAATTGAACGAGATGACTGCTCATGATAAGGTCAAGCATCATTGTATCATTGGGTTTCAGAAATCTGGCTTTCCTAAGCGGCCCTCGTGATTCTCGGAGTCCTGCACGAGGTCGCAAGTCCGCCTGTAATCCACAATTCTAGAGGAGACCGCATATTTCTCCCATGCTACAGCAACTAAATTCCCCGCGGTTATATAACGCCTTACACCGCTCTACTATTGTGGTCGTCGTTACTACTACCGTCGCTATTACTACTACCGTCGCTATTACTACTACCGTCGCTATTAGTACTAGCGTTGTTATCGTCGTCATCGTAGTCGTCGTTATCGTCAGTATGATTATCGTTACTACTATCATCGTGATTCGCAATACAAGTATTTTGGTACACAGACAATACGGCAGGCATTATACTGTTCCGTAAGTATCGCCCCGCTGATTTGCTTAAACCCCAAGCAACAGATTGGAAGGCTGTTGTGGGAGTTTGCACACATCCTCACAGTAAGCTTGGCCACATGGCCTTCTTTGTGCGATGTTACCTCTAGCACCACTCTTTTGCATCAAAGATTCTCTCATTTACGAGTGTTTAGCGTTTTACGAGAAAGGGATTAAACTTGAAACAACTTCAAAGATAGGCCTTGGTCCGCAGGTTTGTAGCCCGAGATGTGACTTCACCTAACGCCCTCATGATAGCACGCGTTGATGCTGCTCCATTTTATCATGCCTAATTTAGGATGGACTGTCTGCCTTATACTATCATATGATTATAGACTTCAACCATTAAAGACACACCATATCTCACGATAAATGCTTCAAAACGTTTAGAAACAATTGCTGCCATTTAATTGAGGCCTAATCTTAAGTTCCAACCCTAATTGAAAGCCTGCTACTTTTCGCATTTTTCATGACAGCCCTGTTGACAGAGTCCTCTAATATAAGTGTCAGCCATAGTACTAGAGGAATAGACCGGAAAATGTCTTCGCTTTTTCAGGGTGGCCAAACTCACATTGTGTAATGCTTCATGGGCAAAGTCGCCCACTGCAAATCCATTCATTGCCAACCTTCTTGCAGGAGCACTGCCGGGCTACGAGCTCGGCGTCTCTCTTGACCATGGCCGGTTCGGGGGCAAAGTCCTTAGGGCACAGCCGTCCGCTGCAGATCCACTCGTTGCCGACCTTGTGGCAAGAGCACTGTCTAGCAACAAGTTCGCTGGGAGCAGCGGTGGCGAAGGCGAGAGTTGCCACGAGCGTGAGGATGGAAAACTTCATGATGCCGTCTGCGAGGTAAATTCGATTGCTGTTTGGAGGTGATTTGTGTGGGCGGTTATGTTGTGATTATCTGGAGAAATGGCAACAAGAGCGGGCCATTATTTATGTCTGTTTCTGACGGGCCCCTTGTTCCCCTACGGTCAAAGTAACTGGTGCTCATTGCTGAATATTGGCACCAAGCAAAGACTTAGCCGTTGCTTGGCCGTCTGAGGCGATACAGCGAGCTTCCTCTTCAAGACTTACGATGCACCAGAAGTATGGTTCTATATTGCCCGAGATTTCAGGGCGGGTCTTCATTGGATAATCCAAGACTTGAAGCACTGCAAGCCAGCCTTGATTGGCATACAACTCTGTGAGATGGCTGAAGGATTGGGTACTTTTGTTGATATCTCAGCCGCAGCGACGCTAGGCCATGCCCGATTAAGAAGGTGTTGATGGATTACGACCTATTCAGGCCTATCCAGGGCTCATAGACAGAAATCGTAGAACCTGACATAAGCGTTGTGACTGTCAAGGTTGCCACCATGAATCAGTAGGATTGAACTAGTATACTGGCTCCCCCGCTTCTCTGTGTGTGAATAGGTAAGTATGCCGCCACTTTAGAGTCTCTTTAAGGAAACTCGTGATCTCTGAGCCGATAAATGGTCTTTCATCGCGCCCGGCCAGATAGGCGCTCAGCTGCGTGGTTGTTTCAACACATTCTGGCCGCCTAAATGTCTTGGCACGCCCGCTCTTGAGGGGCCTTTTGTAGTCAAAAGCATGGCTAGATCAAGCGGAAGCCCGCCACTGACCGCGAATTCCTCCACACGGCCTAGCTGGACCTCAAATCTGAGGGTAGAATTGCCCGCTTTCCCGCGGGTGTCCCAAGCCTACCTCGATTGATAGATTGAAGAAAGCTCAGATGCCGATGCCAGCTTCTTTCTGAGCTTCGTAGCCCAGTTCGACGATGACACTTGCCAAACTGTTGCAGGACCGCAACTCCTCGCCAGAGACTTGAGAGACAACCTCCATTCATTAGAATGCTAATGAGGCTGCAAGGATCCATCAGGCCAGAGTCCAGCCGAGACAACCCGATCCATGAGCTCACTGGGTATCATGGAAATTCATTATTGACAATCATTCTTGTTTTTTTTCTTTCATACCTCTAATTTCTCTCCACCTCGCTCCCTGAACCTTCTCGACCTCCACACCTCTCCATCTCCTTCCATCTAAGTGTTTCAAACACAGTTGTTTCCCTTCATCGGGGTAATACAGCCAGCAGGCCCATTTGGCCCACATGCTCTGCTCTTTCATCTGTGTTCTTGCACGTTGCCCAATGACATCTTCGATGAACGCACCCTTCGGAATCGCCAGTCTTGTTGGAAATACCCGGGAGAGATAATGCTTGGTGGATGCGATATGTGGCTTATCATGCCAAAAGAACATTGGTGTCAGCGGCACGGTGCAATTTGGATGTGACGGGTGGGTGAAGTCCCGCTTGAGCTTCTTCGTCAACGCTCTCAGAGCGGGGTAGTCATGGGCATGGGCTGAGTTGGCGTACTCCAGCATTCGCACTGAGGCGAGGCAGATGTACTTCACTGGCGCCTCCTCGTCCTCGTCAGTAGCCTTCATGATGTCCAACACCGGCGCGATCGGGATGTCCGCCACCAGCGTCCAATCATGTTGGTGAACCCAGACGTACGGCGTTGTGGTGATCCTGAGGGCTGTTCGCACAGCAAGACCGAAGCCGAGTCTCTCCGCGGGTTCGACGAACGAGACCTTGTAGTCTTTTGTGCTGTTGACTGTGAATGGTGTGAGGTTCAGAGCTGCTCTCCCGTCGAATCCGTACTCCGCCTCGCCTTGCTCCTGCGCCAGCTCTTCATCCGACGAGTGTCCGTAGGCTCCAAGAACGAGGGTCTTGACATTCTTCTTGTAGGCATCATACTGCTGTGCGCCCTCTTCCGTCACCACTCCCTTCTTCAGTCTGGATACTGGACCAATGCGGTCGTACGTATCAAACACAACGATGATGCGACAAGACAGGAGGTCCGCGCAGTGTTGGCGAACAGACTGAAAGACGGTGTCGAGAAGTTCTGTCGAGGGGGCAGATGGCGTCGGTGATGTTGTGATAATGAGAGTGAGGTCCGCACAGATCGACGCCGATGGGGGCGGCGGAGGAGTGGAGGGCATGGCTCCTCGCCCGGGTGAGTTGGCGACTGAGCTGAAGTGAAATCCGGCTGCCTGGAGTTGTCTTGGGGTCGTTCGGTACGTACCTTTTCGGTGAAATTTTTTCGGTTTGCACCACGCCGAATATGTGGGGCCTCGGAGCCGATGATGCCGGATCTCTTGAAAGTGTTCATCTCATGTTTTTCGGCGTGTGATCTATGCTTGAGGCGATCATTGCGGTGAGATGAAAATCATGAAGGAGGCTTTATGAAAGTTGGGAAGTTTATAAATCAGTCGTGTTGCGAATGACCGAGGGGCATCATGTCACTACGAACCAGAGGTATGTGAGTGCAATAAGGTGGCTCTCGTCGGAATACGCCTGCTATGCTGAAGAAACCACGGACCAGATATCTGGGTAACCCTGCCAGAAAAGCCTGCGCCAAGATCCCAGCGCCTCCAACGAGAACTTGCGTCTTTTCGCAGAAAAGCAATTCTGGCAACATGTTAAAAGCCAGCTATCCCGGGCCGGAGGACCGACCAAGGACCAATGCCCTGGCCCCGGGACCCATTTAGGTCGGACCCGCACGCAACAAACTCTTCCCGCACCAAAAATAGCCAACAGGATCAAAAATATGACCAGCCTGGGGGTCGAACCCAGAATCTCCTGATTTCACGATGAATCGTAGTCAGACGCCTTGCCATTGGGCCAACCGGCCATGGTTGTTTGTATCCATTGCTGGATGTTGGAAACGCAGCCGTTGTTTGTGACCAAGATCCTCGGCCCACCCCTCGCCCCCATTGCTCAATTCCCTCCGCCATGAACATAGCCGACGGCGTCTTGTGAGACAGCAACTGTGATTATCTCTTGGAGATAGTGGTATTTGTCTGATAATTCTGATTCATCCAATGGGTATTCCAAATAACAAAGAAACATCCTGAACTCCAGGCCATGCTGATGAAGCGAATCATGCACAGATCATGCCCCCTGGCCTTCTTCCATGTTCAAAGTGCCCATCCTGATGCGCTTTGGGGGCCTCATGAACTCTTCTTCTTCCAAGCGCTGAGAAAATAGTACCCGCCGCAAATTTCTGAGTTCGGTGCGCCGGCGCAATGCATGTCGCAATTCCACGCCGGAGCAGCCGTCTTAGGTGGCGTCTTCGAGCAGTAACACTGGTCCCCGTACTGAGTCCCAAAGTAGTCAAAGCCATCGCAGGCCAACGCGCATAGCTTGTTCGTTTGGTTTTGGATGACGCTGATGTTTCCGGAAAACACGCGCTCGTCGCCGTCCTCATAGCAGCCGATGAAATCCCAGTCGGTAACCGTGACCCATGTCGTTGTTGCCGCTGCGGCGGTAGCGGTCGATGAACCGTTCGCGTCGGGATCGCTAGTTCTGAGCATCGTCATGTCAGTGCATCTTCTCTTGCTATATCCCGGATAAGCTGTGAAACGAACTTTGTTGGCGATGTGCTCTTCAAATCAAGAACCTCGGCGGATTGCTTCGCGAGCATGCTTCCGAAGACACCGGCGACCACGACCAGAATCGCAATGAAGAAGGCCAGCAGACACAGCAAGATGAAAACACCACTGCTGATGCCGCATATCCTCTTCTTCGTGGGCCGAGATGCGTCGATCGGAGCTACATAGCCTTGGTCCGCTGATAAAGGTACCGGCTTGTATTGGTCGTATGAGACGTAGTGGGAATTGTTGACGATCTTGTCGGTCTGCTCGACGGGATGCAGACCGTTCTCGACGTATGCGCCATCGCTATCGTGTGGTTGGCTGTAGTTGGGGGCTGGGGAGCTCCTGTGCGATGAATCCATTTCGCAATCGCTATTGAGATGTCCTTGTCGATGACTCAAATGTGTCTCCGTCCGATGATCATTGACAGTGTACGAGCACTGCACCGGCAATATGAAAGATCAGATGCGTCTGATGTACCAATCGAGGAACACAGAAAGATGAAAGGTCTCACTCGAAAAGGGACGAGACACCCAAATAAGCGAGCGAAGCATCCGTGGGATGGCGGGCGCTAGGCAGCCACAAAGCAGAGGATCGCTATGCCAGCACCGGATTAGGGATTAGAAAACCAGCTCCCCTGCGCCACAATTTAGAGTCTTGAATCCTTCAACTCCACTAGAGCGAACAAGCTCCTTGCCCCGGTGGCCAATGATAGCAACATGGAGCGGGCTGGCAATGCATGTCAGACAAGGCCCGCTCGGCCATGCGATAAACGGCGGCTTTTGCAAGCGTGAAGTCCCTGAAACACCATCGCGCAGGAGTCCAAAGTGGTCGAGAATGGCGTCAATGTTGCCAACCTTTCCAAAATCAGCCTTACGGGGGCCCTTGGCAACTGGGGCTGCTGATGGTAGCTAAGCTGGATTTGGTGGTGCTCATTTCCTAAAAAGGCGCCAAGATCGGCTCCCACCTTCGCTTCTCTCAAAGCCGTTGCTTTTTCTCTCTTATTCCGTTACAAGGCTCCAGGCAGCCGTTACTTGACCGCTTTCCTGTCCTTTGCGGGGGAACTGGTCGAGATCATGTATTCCTGGGAGACGTCAACGCAGGCAGCTCTTTCAACAAGATAATGTTTTAGTGGACAAAGAATATCAATATCTAAAGGCCCTGTTGAGTCATGAGACCCAGTCGAAACTTTACATCTATATTGGCTTCGCAGTGAAGGCTTCGGCAGTTCGTCGCTCTCAACTCGGGCCTTGCTTTACCTTCAAGAAAGCGCGCGCCAATGAAATGGCTGCTGCGCAAACGCACAGCTGCCCGAGCTGAACGTCGGTCAGCATTCACTGCATCTTTTTTCGGGAAATTGTCCACCAAAACACCGCTGACGTAATTCTGCATGGCTAGAGTCAATCTGAATTGAGGGGAAATTAGGTAGATAGGTCGTACTTCCACTTTCCGTTCCCTCAGTCGTCGTTATTCGCCTTTGTCATTTGCTCATGTCTTGACGCGGCTCAAAATGTCTGAGAGGGCTGATGTTGACGATGAGGAGAAGATCAACTACTTCATGCGGCACCTCGTCGACCCAACTGAGATCGCACAAGAACGGTTTCTGTGCCTCGTCGTGGAGCGCGTTCGCGAGACAGCCGTGAGTCTGGCGGTACTGGGCTTGGTCGCTGAAGGCACACGTCTGCTGGAGATTCTCCATTCGCATGGGATCCCGCCGTTCGACCTCTACGAACTTGGCCCCGAAAAGCGTTCCGAAGACTACGACAAATCGTGCTATCTTGCCAAGGGGGATACAGAAAAGTACGCGATCAGTGTGCCCCCGCCACGACCAGACCCTTTCACACGAGCTGTGTTCGCATTCGCTTGGGAGAAAACCGGCTCCTGGCCGGCGTGGGCGTCTCCGGGACCCGAACCGCTGGAAAGTGACGATTCAGATGTGAGTCCAGATGGAGAAGAAACAACCCTGGATGCCTTGGAGCGGTATGCGCGTCTATGCGTCTGCAACAGGTTCGGCCATACGTGGCGTGAGGACGACGAGACGCTTCAACTTGTTTCTGAAATGGGCAGTAAGGGCATGAATAGGGCGAACCCCCATGGGCCAATTCCGCATCGCTTGAGACAGTTTTGGCTCCTCTGGGAGCCGGATGCTGGCGCCGTGGTCGATGAACCAGGTTGTCAAGTCCACGGGGCGAGCTCTGACTCTTGATCTTGCTGTGCGGCTCACTTTTCCACGACATCGACAAGACCAGAGCGGCACAGGACAGGACAGCGGTGAGGGGGAGCAAAGCTCAGAAGAGAGCGAGGAGGAGAAGCAGGATCAAGACGAAGTTATTGATGAGTTTTTCCTGGATGATGATGATGATGTAGGCGAAGATATCTCGAGCGAGGAAATCCAAGACCCAGAAAATGCGCACCAGTACAACCTCAACTACATCGACTCGTGGGGCAAGGCCATTGCCGAGAACCATTATGCGCAGGACCAGTTGCCCATGCTCGGCTGCATGAGACGGCTGTGGCAGAGGGGCTGGTTCGAGCACAACACCACCATCGCCAACACCCTCGTCAAAGAGCTCGACCTCGATGTCGACCACATTCGCAGAGTGGCCCATACAGGCTGCTCCATGCTCACCAAAAGACTCGATACCGGCCCGACCCGACCATACGCCGGCGCCACCGTCGCAGAGCTCGTGCGGGCAATCGACGAGAACACGAGGTCAAACGCGCCGTACTGGCCCGAGCACAACTCCGAGGAGAGAATCGCCGCCGAAGCGGGCGCGATGGAGAGAGACGAGGACAAGATCACAAGGCCAGAGACGCTGCTGCGGCGTCCCGTCCCGTCTCATCGGGAAATCGCGGGCCTAGAACAAAAGCTTGAGCTCGCGGCCCCTTTGCCGGAGCAGTACAAAGCCTTCCTGCGGGCCACGAACGGCATGGGTCCGATTTGGTGGAACGAGACACAGCTGATCCGGCTTTTGTGCCCGATGGCCGATGTTAGGCTCGCTGACAGCACCTACTGGCCTGTTCCCATCCAGCTTGAGCTCCTCCCTGACCACCACTGGCTTCATCCTCCCATCGAATGGCCCATGATTCGCCGCTCAGTTAGGATAAGTCAGGACACAAGCCACGATGGGTATGTTTTGTTGGTTGAGCCGAAGTTTGTCGCGGAGGCCAAGGCAGCCTTCTTCGAGGTCTATGACCCTCTGCCGGAGGGAGAGAAAGGCATGCTCCGCCGGGTGGTCGAAGAGGTATACGGCAGCCTCGACGCTTTTCGCAAGCTCGAGTGGGGAGTCGTTCTGTGGACTGCTTGGTTTGCCGAGATGATACCCTACCGCGACTTTGCAGCGTTGCTCGAAGACTTCGCGGTGGGAAGTCAACGCAAGATGAGGCCTTGGTCGCGGTACTGGTATCCGGGGATTCGGAAGCTGGATTCTTACTACTATTTGCCGCAAAATGAGTGCGAAGAAGACGACGAAGAAGGCACCGTCGATATCGGAAAGGGCAACTTGGTTGTTCATGAGGATGGCACGATGTCCATGGGCGAGAACGTCTATCCGGATAACGAGTTTACGAGGCCTGAAGTGTTTCACTAAAGTTATTCGCCTAGAGATGGCATCAAAGAATTCCCCTAAACCCAACCCTCAACCGGCAAAGACCATAGTGGGTCATATTCTGCACCTTGACACTACTGGCTTTCCGATGCAGTGTTGCACCCACGAGAGAAATTCAGAAGCCTCCACTTAACAAATGAGTGCTTTTATATCATCGAGTCATCCGACGCCCTAATGTCGTGTAATTCGGATGAGCGGAAAGACGCGGGCTTGGCTATGCGAGTGTCATCGAAACTGGAAGTAGGAAACTAAAGTGTGTCTCAGTGATGCAGAAACACTAGCTACAGATGGAATCAGGACCGCAGACGGTTCATCGGCTTTACACTGCCGAGAGTGGCTCTGTGTTCATTCCACGACGCATAGCTAACGTAACGAACGGCCGAAAGGTCCATCTGTGCTCCACCGCCCAATGTGAGGCTCCCAAAGCAAGGGACGAACGGCTTGAATACATATACGACATACGATGCTCATGTGTGCTTCCATCTTCGCCGTCAGAGATTACTCGGAACCAGTGCGGAAACATGACTGAAGAAACGTTACAAGTCGAAAGAGTTGTCCAATCAGACAAAGGTACGATTCTCAATCCAAGCCATGAGCCTCACTACTCTGACTCCATCTTAGTCTGGGCAAGTCTTATCACAAGCATGAGCTACCTCCCGGGGCTCCTCACCTTACACCATTCCCTCGTCTCCTCAAAAACAGTCTACCCCTTCATCGCCCTGTACACAGACTCCTTCCCCGAGGAGGGCCGCGCCGCCCTCGCCGCCCGCGGCATCCCCCTCCACCGGGTCCCGCGCCTCCGCCCCGCAGGCACGAGAGCCTACACACGCGAGCCGCGCTTCGAAGACACCTGGACCAAACTAACCGTCTTCTCCCTCACCGCGTACGCCCGCGTCGTCCTCCTCGACTGCGACATGCTCGTGCGCAGGAACATGGACGAGCTGATGACGCACCCGCCCCTGAACCCCGCCGCCGCCAGCAGCACCGCCGGCACAAAGGTCTTCGCCGCCGGCCACGCGTGCACCTGCAACCCGCTCAAAAAGCCGCACTACCCGCCGACCTGGGTCCCGGCCAGCTGCCCGTTCACGGCGCACCACGCGGACCCCGCCGCGGCGCAGACCGACGGCGCGGACCGCGCCCCGCGGCCGCTCGGCCTGCTGAACAGCGGCCTCCTCGTCGTGGTCCCCTCGGCGGCGCACTACGGCGCGATAGCGGCGCGCGTCGAGAACGCGCCTGCGGAGTGGGTGTTTCCCGACCAGGACCTGCTTGCGGAGCTGTTCCGGGGCCGGTGGGTCGGGTTGCCGTATGTGTATAACGCGCTGAAGACGCTGCGGTGGCGGGGCGTGCATGATGTCATCTGGAGGGACGAGGAAGTCAAGAACGTTCATTACATTCTCAGCCCCAAGCCCTGGGATTGTTGTGAAGACGATGGTGCGTTGGGCCACGACGAGTCGCATCGGTGGTGGTGGGCGGCGGACGGGGAACGCAGGGCACAGGAGGAAGCTGATGGGATTGCGGACGGGTACTGATACATGCGGAAAATACGTCGCATTGTTGCGCAAGGAATACCACCACATGTTATTAGTCTAGCTTCGTGATATGTACTTCACCCTGGAGGAATGCAGCAAGATGTATCAAATGCAGCCCAAACAAAAGTAGACCACATGAATACTGTACGTTTGCACATCCCCAACTCTATCTCCTGTTCTTCCGGATGGAAATTGAGCGCGTGTGGAAGAATTGCGGATCTTGTG